TCTTCTTCAGACATCTCTACCCCATTGCTCTATTTTCTTTCAATGACTCAAATTGTATTTTAAGAATAATGCAAGATTTCCAACTTCCAATGATAAATAATAACACCACAAGTTCAGATAAAAATGAGAGGGTACTAGGCATCTAGAGATAAAATGAAGTTGGGTAATCTCAGTTATACAAAATAAAATTCAATTTCCAAAGATTGAGACCGCAGAATGCCAAATATAACAAGGAACAATAAGACAAATAAATGGATCCAAAAAACCCAATAATCGGATATCACTTTTTGTGCTTATTTTCCCTCGAGAAAGCGTCTCCGATGAAACATAATCAATGGATCCAAACAATCTGATAATTGGATTCGTGAATTCATCCGCTGAACTCAATCCAAAATCTATGATATTCAACGTTGATTCTTTGTTTTTGCTCAAGAACAAGTAATTTTCCAATTCTAGATTCATATGAATAATGTTCACCTTATGAATCACCGTTAATCCCTACGGCCTGCGCGACCTGTTGCGCCACCGTGTCAATCTCTGAGTACCTTATTTCCGTAACGACCCGATCGAACAACTCACCGCTGAAGTAGATCTCCAGTACTAAGTGAATGTCTGTTTGATCTTCGTAAAACGTTGTGGAAGTCGATCACGTTCAGATGCGGTAAAACATTCTCGACGGTCTTTCGCATCACATGGGTTTCTTTGATCAACAAACTGTAGGAGATGGAAGTCCAGTACTGTGTCGTCAATAGCGTCACCATCAAAGAAGCTCTGGTTTTCTCGGGTCAAGGTGATGGTGAATCTTTTCACTATTTAAATGGCGAATTCTCTCTATTTTTCACAATCTTCGTTACTTCTTTGTATACATTTTCTTAAAACTGATAACCCACCTAATTTGGCTTCAAATAATTACAACTCATAATTAGAAACAAAAAGGCTAAGAAGAGGCGCGCAATTTTGGGGTTTGGAGAAAAAATATTAAAAATGGATAAATTGAAATGATATCCCTAAACTAATTTGAATTTACAAAAAGACCCATAATCAATATTTTGTCTAAAGTTTAAGGGGTTAAAATAAAAATTAAACCATTTTACTAACGAGTCACGCCATCAAACTAACGACATTGAACGTCCAGATGATAAAAACTTAATAAAATGATAACATAAGCGACCCAACATATTATCTATGTAGAAATGATGTAATTTTAATTTTATATATTTATCGTGTCACGTCAGCAAACCGTTAAAAGTTTAACGGTTGTTACCTTCAATGACCATATCTTAATTAAAATTAAACGATGGGCTGCTTTTGTTGATAAGAAGTAACACTTCATTTAGTTAGTGTTTTGGTAGTAAGTTAGCTATTGCTCTCCGGTCACAAGATTTTCTTTGAGTTTAGAGTAATTGTGGGGTTTTGCGTGAAGTCTAAGGTTGTGTTCTACGAGATTTATCGTTGATTTCAGGATCAATGGTTCTTATGGGATCGTTCATGCTGTGTAGTGCGGGATTGTTTGTTGTTCGATGATGACATGGTGTAATGCAATGATCAGCAGCACTGGTGATCCTGGTTCCTAATGCTGTTTTCGAATTGTCACTTTCTCCTGTGGTTGCATGTTTTTAATTTTTTGTGTGTAGTTTTTTTTGTTGTGTTTAGGGGTTTGTTATGTTTGTTGCAGTGTGACTGTACTATTCTTGTATTAGTTCTCCTCCACTTCTTGGTACACTCTTTTTACTCCATTTAGAATTAGGGAGGTTTTTTTAATGAGGTCTTTGAGGTGGTGTACTCTGCATTTACTTATAATACAAAGTACCCTCTTTCAAAAAAAAAATAAAACTAAACGAAACGAAAGGGACAAAAAATTTATTTTTTGAATTTAGCGATAAAAAAATATAAAATTCAAACGAAAGTGATAATTTTTGTAGTTTACCCTATTTTTAATTTCACTGTCGATCATCAACCTTATGTAGGGCTGAGCAACGAAATCGAAAAAATCGAAAAACCGACACGAACCGAGTAAAACGGTTCGGTTCGGTTTGGCATTATACGATTCAATTTTCGGTTTTGTTTAAAGTCCTAATTCTTTTGATTCGGTTCGGTTCGGGTTTTTCATATGGAACTCATTTATTCCATATTGAACCGAATAGACAATTTTTTTTAAAAAATTATAGTTTCAAGTGATTTTTTCATTGAAAAACCAATAAACCGAACCGAATTGAAAAACCCGAACCGTTAAAAAAATCAAACCAAACCGAAAAAACCGGTTTCGGTTTTTTAACCATTCGGTTTTTTCGATTTTTTATCAATTCGGTTTCGGTTTAAATTTTGAAAAATCGTTTATTTCGGTTCGATTCAATTTTTGGTAAAAAATCGAACCAAACCGAATACACCCCTAACCTTATGTTTAATTAATTTTACAATTTGAGTTTGAATAATTTGGTGGGGGGGGGGGGGGGGGGAAGTCCCGCAGTTTCAAAGGATTAATTGTGGGCATTGGCATCGTTCTTTGTCACGCTTCAATCACCATGACACCAAGTCGGATGAAATAAAACATAATTATTTTATTTTTAAAATAAAGAAATTAATTTATAATGATTAAAAAAAACTATTGATTGTTTTTATTTATTTAAAATTATTTTTAGAAATATTTATATAAAGAGACTTTAAATTTGGATAAACTACTTCATTAGTCACCAATTCATTATTTCTATGTCATTTTAGTCACTAAACTAATCTTTTTACAAAAACATCACTAATGTTATTTTTCCCCTTACTTTGATCACTAATAAAAATTTAACTGCAATATTGATGTGATATTATTATTATTATTATTATTATTATTATTATTATTAATTTCTATGTTATTTTCTCTCTTTTTATCAATATTTCACATTTATTTTCCTTATATTTTCATCCAATCAATATGTTGGTGACATATAGGGTCTGTTTGTTTTCCTGTAATTGGTTTTTCGAAAAATGTTTTCCTCATTTTCCAGTGTTTGGTTAGCGGAAAACAGATGGTCAATGAAATTCACTTTCCTTGTCAACTGAATTTTCTTTTATATTTTCTGAAAAATGACTTACCATCTATTTTCCATAAGTTATTTTAGGAACTTTCCACTTCAAAACATAAACACTCAAAACATTATTATTTTATACATTTAATATTAATATATTATTTAGTATCATATTAAAATATTTAATATTTAAATTATATTTAATAATAGTTTTAATAATATAATATAATATTTTATTGTTATAATTATATTATTATAATATATAATATTATACTTTTGTTTTAATAATATATAATAAATTATTAGCAAAATTAATTTTATTGATTAATTTTATAAAAAATAATATTATAGAATTATTGAATATGTAAAATATACTCCGTAAAATAGAATATAATATTGTTACTTTAATATTATAATTTTAATAAGTAATTAATATAATTAGTAATATTAGTCTCATTTTAATAAATAATTAATATAATTTATAAAAATTTATTTTAATAAAATAACAATGTTAATATTTTATTTATAAAATTATAGATATACTATTTTAATAATAATATTGAAATAAATAATATTAAATAAATTATTCTGATATTTTAAAAATATTATTATTATTTTTAGTAAATAATATTATTTATTGTATTTGATGTTTATAATAAAAAATTTATCAACAAGTGGAAAATAAATTACACAACATCATTCAAACAAACGATATCCAGAAAATGTAATTCATTTTACGGAATTCATTTTCTATAATCTATAATCGGACCAATAATATTATCTATTTTCTTTATTTTACTTGATCAATACGATTAGGTCAAGTTTTTATATGTTTTTAGGCATCGTCTATTAATGTTTCATTGATTTTCAATTTTGTTTTTATTTTTCTACACTTTCAAATTTAATTTACAAGAATTCAAATAAGTCCTTTTATTCTTTATACTCTCTTAGCATAATAGCAAAATTAATCCTTAATATTTCATTAACTTTTTCAATTTCACCCTTAAACCTTTTATATAGTTTCATTCTCAAACTTTAAAAATTGAAACAAACCCTTTTTATTATTTATATCCTTCAAGCATAGTAGTAAAATTAGCCATGAAAATTTTGTCTCTTGAAATTAGATCTAATCTAACTCAATTTCAAACTTAAAATTTTATAAAATGATTATTAAATTTTATCGAATGGTTATAAAATAATTGTTAAGTTTATTGAACTTTTAAAATATTATAATATTGTAATGAATGTTTTGTATCAGTTCAATAAATTTAATGGTTATTTTATAATTTTTTAAAGTTTAATGACCAAAATGATTATTTGGATATAGTCCAAATATACTTTACAGTTTACACTTATATTATATAGGATAAATTACACATTTAGTACATAAATCATCAGTTTTGATTCGTTTTAGTACCTAAACTTAATTTTTTTCAGAATCGTACTTAACGTTTAGTTTTTGTTTTATTTTAGTACACATCACTAAAAACTTAACAGACGGGCTAGTTGGTTGTCGTGTCTGTAGTCACTGGTCGTCGCATTCGTCGGCCAATAAAGTCCAAACTTTTCAACCTGCGCCTTTTCGACCATTTGAACGTGATTTCAAAATTTGTTTCACCAAAAAATGCCCTAGTCTCCCCCAAATCGATAATGGACTCTTTGACTTCTTCATCATCCGATCTCCGTTGTCAACCGTCCGATGAACCTGAAACTAGACTATATTGGTAGACTTGTCTTTCTCTTGTGGTCAACCATTTGGATTGGTCGTCCGTCCACCAGAGCTATGTCCCGTCAGCGTGTCCGTTAAGCTTTTAACGACGGGATACTAAAATGAAACAAAAACTAAATGTTATGCATGATTATGAAAAAATTAAAAGTTTAAGTACTAAAAGAAACAATTGATAGTTTAGTTACTAAAAGTGTGTTTTACCCTATTATATATAATTAAATAATCCGTCGTTTTCGTTTGAATGAGAGTTGTTGATGTGAAAGCCTCTGGTGCAGAAGACCTTTCAAACCCAAAACAAGGAGAAGAAGGTTTCAAATTCCAAATAATTTCATTCTATTTAGATTCTCTTTGAAGATTCTTCCTGTATTGGGCCCTAAATCCTCTAATCTTCGCTGTTTATCTTTACTTTCTTCTTTTCCCTCCTCAGATCCTTTCGATTTTCTTCACAAATTTCTTTCATTGAGCTTCGTCTTGGATTTATGGAGTTTTGATTTCACGCACGCTTTACGAGGTAAGAAAGAATGAGAAATAAGCCATAAATTTTCTAATCTTCGCTGTTTATCTTCACTTTCTTCTTTTCCCTCCTCAGATTCTTTCGATTTTCTTCACTAATTTCTTTCATTGAGCTTCGTCTTGGATTTATGGAGTTTTGATGTCACGCACGCTTTACGAGGTAAGAAAGAATGAGAAATAAGCCATAAATGTTTTCTGATTTTTTGTTTGTTTGGTTCCTGAGAAGAGCTATGGGTTTTCATATTTGATCTTTTGGTAAAAAGTTGATCAGTGTGAAGTGAAATGAGTTAGTCGTTTGGTGGCGTTGAAGATCTCTCTACTATTTGGAGTAAAAGCTTTACTCTACTTGAGGTATCTACTTTTACACTGATTTAATTCAATTTTTTTAAAATTAAAGCATCTCGTTATATATTGAATTCGATATTTGTTTGCTGTTCTAAATATAAGCTCTAATTTAGTGTTTCTTTTGTTCATTATCCCGCAAATTTATGTATAGATGCTAAAAGTATTATAAAGGCGATTAATATGTCTGGAAGAAAACTTAAATATGATATTATTTGTCGTTTTGAAGTTGTAAGAGATGGGATATAAATAAACCAATGAAATTTCAAATTGGTTTGAAATGTTGTACATTGATTCCATTTTCCATTGTTTGTATAATTAGCCTCACACTGTTGTTTGTTTTTGTTCCTATTGCAGTGTGTGATGGATTCAGATAATCTCTTGTCCGTGGGTGGGCTTGAGGTTGCCTGCCAAAACGATGTTTATCAGCAACTTCGGGTGGCCATTGGAGACGATAGTGGTGTTCCGAATGATGTTAGTGAAAATGTTGAGGAAACTGTTGAGAGTTGTTTGCAGAATGGAAGGGATGACAATGGAGCAACTGGAGAAGCTAGAGAAGTGTCGGATGACTTAATTGGAAACAATGGATTGCTTGATTCTAAGGTAGAAGGTCTTAACATTTTATCTGAGTGCTTTAATGAACTACCATTTACCATTAGTCGGATTTCATATTTATCCATGTGCTTGGTTTCATAGGAAGGGGAAGGAAAAGATAATGTGGATGTGAAGCAATGCAAGACCAAGAATGAGAAGCCTTCTGGCCCCAAAATTACTTCTTCAACTTCAATGAAGAAAAGTAAACATGGAAATAGTGTAGAGGCGAGGTCGACAGCTTCAAATGGCAGATTTGTTGCTACAAATTCACATCCGAAACAGCCTCTGAAAAATCGATCTTGTAATGAAAGACAAGCCAATGCAGCCAAGGTTAGAGTTGGGGGTGTTACTTGTTTCTTTCTATTTGCAGTTTCCATTGGTATTTTTTTAAAACACAGTTCAGGCCTGTCTGACAACTGCTTGTCCTCTCTATCTTCTTTTGACAGCGTTCTGAAAGAACTGATGCAGCATTCTCCAAAGGCCCTGTGTACGTACTACTTGTGCTTATGTTTGAGTTTCTTTTCCTTTTCTTTTTTAATACATCCTTCACCCTTTGGTTTTCCTTTGTTATCCAACCAAGGGGAAGTGCTCTGTGGCCGCCATTCATCTATTTATTTTCTCCTGAAATTAAACTTTGTGTGATTGATGATGGCAGATATTTTCTCCTGCCTAATCTCAAACTGTTTTGCTTTGTATTATAGTGAGAAACCCAAACTAAAGCCTCTGAAGAAAGGGCCACTTGGTATAGTTGAAGGAGACACAGAGTCCTGGTATCCTTTTCAGTTTGAACTTTTTGTTATTACTTTCTGTCTGGGACTATGGGTTGAAAAGGGGTGCAATTTGAGCACTCTTGTTCTTTCTATTTTTTAACGACATTTATGTTTATCCTTATTTCTTCACTGAAGCCCTCCGGAAGCTGATGCCAAACCCCGTAAGGTTGCTACTCTTCCAAGATATGGTTTCAGTTTCAAGTGCGATGAACGGGCTGAGAAAAGGAAAGGGGTTGGTGCTTTATATTATATTTATGAGGCTTTATGTTGTTGGTCATTGCAGCACTATTATTTTGATTCTCAAATCCTCACCATTATGTTGTACAGTTTTACACCAAACTTGAGGAAAAGATTCAGGCAAGGGAAGAAGAAAAGAGCAACCTGCAGGCCAAGTCCAAGGTGTTATTTTGTAAATGCAATTGCTTACCGTCCCGAACTGCTTCTTTCTTATCATAATGATATTCCAATTTTCTTCCAGGAAACTGAAGAAGCTGAAATTAAGATGTTTAGGAAGAGTTTGAACTTTAAAGCAACTCCAATGCCAAGCTTCTATCAGGAGCCTCCACCTCCTAAAGTGGAACTAAAGAAGGTTGGTTTACTGTTCTGATGTATAGAAAACTACATGACCCGTTGAATATAAAAATTTCAAAGGCAATATTCACTTCAATTTTAATTACAATGACACACTTATTCATTTTGTTTTATTTCTTTTTTTAAGGTTTTCTTATAATTTGGTTTGCTGCCTTTTTCGAATTTTACGCATTTTTATTATTTACATGTATCTGCTCATCTTCCTTTCCTACAAGAGCCATTTTCTTTTCCACAAAATGCTTTAGATTGTTCAGTGGGAGGCCCTAGCTCTGTCAACTTTCTTTGTTAGTTGGAGCTGATACATTTAACTTGTAACCACTTGAACTGGTTTACGTTACAATTAAATCTATGTTGTGATAGTTAAGAAAAACTTTTCGGAACAAACCCAAGAGCATAAAATTGAAATTGCAAATGAATGGTTAGGTTTGTGGTGATAAATTTTCTAGTCTTTTGGACTCATTTATTTTGTCCTAAGATACAGATTACTTGTCGTAGTTTTAGCATGATGTGCCATGTTCATGCATTTATATGCTCTGATTCTACATCTTGATAACTTCAAATCGGACTATCATAATCCTTTCTTGAATGTGTTCACAAATGTAGCATTATATGTTCTGTGCACGTAGAATTCCATTTTCGAATATACGTTTTGTCAACCGTAGCCATACTTCGTTGCTTTCTTTTTCTCTATATTTTCTTTGTATGGTAGCATTTGATATCTCAAATTTCGGAAAAGTTGATATTTTAAATTCCCGGATTCAGATACCACCAACAAGAGCTAAATCTCCTAAGCTTGGTCGAAGAAAAGTCTCAACTCCTTCGGATTCCGATGGTAACAGCAATAGTGGCCACCAATCAGTCCAGCTAAGTCTGGATGAGAAAGCATTTCGGACCATCTCTTCCAAAGAAACTTCGCCCGTCAATGTGAAGAAGCCACAGCGGAGGTCACTTCCTAAATTGCCTTCTCAAAAGACTGGTTTGCCCGGTGCAACGAATGAGGAAAAGATATCAAAGATCTCCAGTCGGGAAAAGGTTACGCACGAGGAGAATAGCACCATACCAAATGTAACAAATGAAGAGTTGTCTCCAACCCAACAGCAGCAGGCAGTGTCTGCAGCTGATTCAGGTGAACATCAGCCCGACATCAAGTGAGCTTAGTTCAAGAACCGATTGCATTGGAGCATTAAGCATGGCAACGATTCGAAGTGGATGTTCATATACAAAGCTCTTTACCTTGTTTTGCCTGAATAAGGACGTCCAAGACCGGATTATTTGATGATCAAGGCTTAAAAATATTCTACGTTACTGGTTATGATGTTGTCTTCTCCAATATTCAGCAGCTTTCGTTATTCCATGTGTTGCCCGCAAAGGTTGCCGGACTTCTTGTTACGATTCGGTGTTCCTGTTTGCAGCACCGTATGTCAATTGTCTACCAAGTTGACCTAATTGATATTGTTTTTTTGGAGTCATGTTGATGTTAAATAATCCATGAACGAATTAGGTTTGTCCGAACCGGCCGAACAACCTAATATTGTGAAATAAGTCCATTTCGAAGTTCCGGTTCTGCTGAACTTTGTAAATGTTTCCCTTTTATTGTATGAAGTTAACGCCTACATTGTTTTGCAGAGATTAGATCTGCAGGTGAGTCGGTTTATGGTATGAAGCTTTGATGGATGATGGCATAGATGAGAAGATTGGACTGGATCGGCCGGTTCAACCCAAAACTGGTTGATCTGGTTTATATAAGTTGAACTGAAAATTAGAGAACTGGTCGGGATCAAATCGGAAATACCCGGAAAAAAGTAAGGGTGTAAATGAACCGAGTTTGAAAGAATAAAGTTATGTTTGTGTTCGTTTATTTATTTTAAAGGTGTTCATGTTCAGTTTGTGTTTGTTCAAATTTTTTATATCTTGGTCATATTCGCTTATATATTTTTGAAGGTGTTTGTTTTTGTTTATTTATTGTTCGTGAATATATTCGTTTAATGTTCGTAAATATATTTATTTAGGGTTTATTTAGTGTCCGTTTAATGTTTATTTAGTGTTCGTTTAGTGTTCGTTTATATATTCAATTTTTAGTTTTATCCTTTCATTTGTAAGTTAAAAAAATGATAAAATTATATTACTAGTGCTTAAAGTTCTTAACATTCACATTTTAGTTTTTAATTTTACCATGTGTTCAATTTAGTTTTTATATTCACTAATATTTAAAATTTTAAAAATAAAATAAAAATGAGAATTGAGTGAATGAGTTTGTTCATAAATGAACGAGCTCATAAACGAGTTCAAAAATGAACTTATAAACTAGCTCATAAACAAACAGAATACACCTCTATCCGTGTTCGTTTATTAAATGAACATAAAATTCTTTGTTCTTACTCGTTTATTTAACATAACAAATGAACATAAACGAACGTTATACGAATAATTCATAAACAGTTCTAGAACGCTGTTTATTTACACCCCTATTAAAAAGCGAATATAACCCTATTTTGTTATATTGATTTTGATTTTTTTGTTTCTTGGTTTTCCTTAAATATGATAGCAACTGCAAGTAAGGAATAACACACGAACCACAAGGAAGAAAGGGCCAATTATAAGCAAAAAGTTCGAGAATGTGTGCAATGTGTCGTCAACCGTGGAGCACACGGCAGAGATTAGGGTTATAAATGAGACGAGACAGATCGTGAGCTATTCGAGATCGACTCGATAAATACTCGGATCGAATGGACTCGACTCGAGCTCGACTCGAATTCTTAACGAGCCGAAACAAGCTACTTGATACTCGACTCAAAAAGCTCATGAGCAGCTCGAAAATATAATATATAAGATTATATTTTTAAAAAATATATATATTAAAAATATTAATAATTATGTATTGATTTTTTTAAATAGAATACATTAAGATTTTCATGCATTTAAGGTTCAGGTTCGAGTTCGAGTTTGAGACTTTAATCGAGTTAAGTTTAAGAATTTTTTTTCTTCATTTCGAGCTGCTCACGAGCTTCAGTTCAGGATTTCGAGTTCGAGTCGAGCTTGAAAATTTTAAGCTCGCGAGTTTTCGAGTTGAGATCAATTTCAGAGTTTTCGAGTCGAGTCGAGCTCAACAATACTCGAGCTCGACTCGGCTCGTTTACACACCCCTAGCAGAGATTAAGGAGACTTGAGTAGCAATTTTTCATTGCTTTTTCTGAAGATCAAATAAAAGTATGAACAAATATTTTTTTATAAAAATATTAGTTATTCTTTAAATTAAAATATTTTAATATTTATTAATTAAATTAATATCGGATGGATGTGTAAACAAATTCAGTCAGACACTTTGTACTAAATATATGGCAGTAGAGATTATGAAAATATAAAATTAAACTATGCCAAACTAAAAAAAAGAGATTAAGATTAATTTTCATTAAGTAGAGGGTCTAAAATCATAATTAGACCTTGATAAAAAAAAGGCGGCTGCTACCTACTAAGGGGACGTCGGCTCGTCGCTGGGGAAATCATGCATGTCGCTGCTAAATAAGTAGAGGGACTGAAACCATAATTAGAGCTTTATTTTCGGGTCTTCAGCAAACATATCCATTTCCTTTTGCTGTTAATCGTCATCTTTCTCAGCAGTCCATAGGTATCGAGCATACGATGCAAGGACATGGCTGCCATTAACAATCCCAAGGTTACGTTAAAAACAAAATTTAAACATTAACAAAATTACTATAAAGCTCTTTTTTTGTGTATATATATGGGACAAGATTCAATTATACTGTGTATATCCTTTTAGTTTTACACTTTTTTAGGACAATTGGACGAGAAAAATTAAAGGTTGAGATTAACAGTAGAGAATGAAAAGATATTTACTGAAAAAATAATGAGTTAATCTCAGCCTTTGATTTCTCTCAATCCAGTGGTCCTAAAAAGATATAAAACTAAAAATAATTTTACACAGTATATATATATATGGTTGAAAATAAATGGTTGAGATTAACTCATTGTTTTTTTTTTCCAGTATATACATTCACATTTCTTACTTTTAATCTTAGCTATCTGTTTTCACTCATCTAACGATCCTAAATCTTTGTAAAACTAAAATAATTTTACATTGTATAAGAGAATCATATCCCGTATATATAATCTCTTTATCTTGTCGAATAAAATTGAAAAAATTGTGTAATATCAAATCCGGATAAGGCTATATATTAAAATTTATAGTAGGTTTAGAATAATTGAAAAAATCTAACTTATCTCACTCCATGCACAACCCTGAATTTTAATATGCTTCATGTGAGATTGTCTAGACTGATTATAGAACCTGATTGATATGATAGAAAAACTTTGAGGACTCAATTAAAACACTGTTTGGGTCAAGACTAGACTTTATGATGTAGTTTGGGGACTTAGGATGGAATTAACCCAATAAAAGAACAGGGATGAAAACAGTGAATAATACCAGTTATTTGGAGAAGCCTTAACAGCACGATCAAAATAAGTTTGAGCAAGAGCTTCGTCGCCGTGGTTAACCCAGATTAAATCTCCATACGTCGACAGAACTTCCCCGTCGTCCGGCCGTACGAACGCCGCTTTCCGGCAATACTCTTCCGCTTTTTTCAAAAGATCGCCTCGCACCTCTTTCAAGAATTTAGCGTAGTTGGGGAGAAGAAGAGCTTCTCCGGGGTAAGTTCTGATCATATTCTGGTGATACTCATCCATTCTCCGTTTCCCTTGACCCCAATATCCTCCCCCGCTGCCGGAATCACCGCCGTCGGAATGAAGGGATGAGGATACCGGTTAAAAGGGGATATCTTCCTCTTCCTTGACGGTGTTCGGAGACCCCATGTGGCTCGGCTTATGCCTGTTGGGAATAGCGAAATGCCATTGTATTTTTTGCTCCTCATTTTTGGGCCATTTGTCTTCCTTATTTCCTTAAATTATAAAGAACTATAATGTAAAAATTAGTCCCAACTTTTACCAAAATGTTCATTTTGCCCTATATTCTATTTTTTTAAACATTTTGACTCCCGACGTTTTATTTTAGAGCGAAAAAGACTTATAACATATGACAGAATAATCATTTTTCCTTTTCCCCCCCTCCTTTTGGGGCATTTTAGGCATCAATGTTTCATGTTAAGTTAAAAAGGCTCGTATTTTAGAGCGTTAATCGTGTGTTAACTAATAGTTTTCATCTATAGAGAGATTTTTCTGCCCCAAAATAAAACGTTCGAGTCAAAATGCTCCCAAAAAAAAAAGAATTGAGGCCAAAATAGCCATTTTATTTAACTTGGGGGCTATTTTAATATTATGCCAATTATAATTAAAACATTAACATTTTGAACTCATTTTAGTCACTTACGCCAAAATGTTTATATTTCTCTCATTTTTCTTCTTTTCAATTTAGTTATGCTCGAATCCTGTTTAAAATTGACAAAAATTAAGTTAAAGCTTCGATCTTCTTTCAGTATGATACATGCCTACAATCGCTAGATACGATTGATTTCGAGATATGTTGTTCGTATTCATATCCATGTGTTGGATTCCCTTAATTCTTTCATGTCGGAACATTATCTTTTAAATCTCAACGATAGGGAGACAGAGAGAGTATAGAAGATTCTTTCAAGAATCTATATAATCAAAGACAATTAATCAATTAACATGAATGTTAACTAAGATAGAAAATATTAGATTATCTATAATATAACTTTCAAATAAAAATCTAAAATATAAGGGTGAACTACTCGAATAGAAAACACTTTCACTTTCGGCAATACGACCACATAACTATTTAAATGATTTCAATGTAGTAACTTCTCGTTACAAAACAAATAATGTAGCTGATGTGGACTTCTGACTTGTCGTTAGGCAATAATAGCCACATCAACTACGTCGTTTGTTTTGTATTAGCAAATAGTTACATTAAAACCACTTAAATAATTATGTGGTCATATCGTCAGAATTATAAGTATTGTGTCATATCGATACTAACCCCATAATTAAATGATCATTTGATTAATTTACCCTTTATATTATTATACAAATATGTTCGTTAGCATTAATACGATATGTGTTAAAACGAAAATTTGTTTGAATTTATTGATGAGATTAAGTTTGGTTCGTCAGTCGCGGATAATTCATTTCTTCTCATTTGGACAAAAAATCACAGTTGATAAGAGGACGATTGTTGGTCGGTATCTTCCTTATAAAAGATTGCAATCTTTTTTTTAAAAAAAAATTGTGAAAGAAATGTAAAACAAGAGGAAGAAGAGGAAAAGATGACGGGGATAAATACCCTATCTATGGGACGATTAATGTCAAGTTTACGATGATGATAACTGTCGAGTTTGTCTCTAACGAATTATGTGGAGTTGTCAGAAATCCAATCATGGAGTTGTCGTTATCTAGGAAGCGTTATAGTGCAAAACTTTTGGAGTCTTATAATGTGTAAGTTTTTTAGATGACAGAGAATAGAGGTGTAATTTTCAAAGAACGTTTTCTAATAAGATACCTAAAGGTATAACGGAACTAAATAAAATTTACACAAATCAAAGTTAATCTAATATGATGAGAAATATAATTTTAGTAATTTTTTAAAAAAATTCTAAATATAATCTTAAACATACTTAAAAGGAAGGAAAATTCTACAAGAAGAAAGATGAGTACTCCTAATAAATTTAAAACTCATAACCGAATATGACATAAGAAAGATGAAGTCCAAACTTTTAAGTTCGTAACTTTTCGATCCCCTGAACACGATTCTAGTATCCGTTTCACTGGAAAGTGCCTCAGTCTCCTCAAATCAACGATGGACTTTTTGATTCTTCATCCTCCGATCTCTATGGTCCACTATCCGATGGGCCTGGAGCTGAACTATGTTGGTCGACTCGTCATTTTCTCGTGGTTCACCGTTCGGATTGATCATCCATCCACAAAAGCTATGTCACGTCAGCCTGTCCGTTAAGTTTTCAACGGCGAGGTACTAAAATGAAATAAAAACTACACATTATATATGATTTCAATTTTTTTTAAAAAAAATTAGATAGTAAAACGGACCAAAACTTATAGTTTAAATACTACACACATGTAGTTTACATTTTAGTATTTAGAGTTTACTAGGGTTTGGCATCATTCTCTTGGCCCACACCAAAAGAGTGCTCTAAAGTTCTATGTGAACCCTTAGGGAAATGATAAATAATGTACTTCTATATATTATCATCAGTTTTTTTAAAATGTTTGTTCACTTGTTTGATTAATTGGAACTACATTCATAAAATCACATAAATGTTAATGTTTTTTCCTCATTCGGACAAGTGAAAATCATAAACTCGAAAGAGATGAACATGAACATTTACGAACTATGTTATTGTTCATCACTATAATTAGTAATTATCCAATGTCCAGCTCTGCACATTTATGGCGTTCAAAGGTGATGATGAAGGAAGAAGAAGAATACAAGGGAAGTTCATAACAGCCTCCAGCAATGCCTAATCATACAATTGGACCAATGAACTGGTCCGAATTACACGCAAAACAGGTTTCCCGACCGAAGTGTTCATGTTTTTCTTGAGTTCTTTTCACTTACAATTGGACCAATGGCTGATGAAACAGGTCTGTAACTTACCATATTACAAGAATCCTTGTCGATATATAATGGTGTGTGTATTTGGCGAGATCTTACCAACTTTCATCTGTCATTCCTGCACACCGAACATAGTCGTATTTAGTTATGGCCTCGATCACCCTCGACGAGCTCCACGCGTATCACGCCATCGATCGATCGATATTCTCTAGGCTGGTGATAAATCTCGGGAGGGATCCGGCTGAGTCTATGCTAGTTATGGCCCTGTGGCTTTGGTTCGAGGAGACCGGTTACCCCAACATTATCGCGAGAAGCGTTAACGTGTCGGATCCCGTCTTGGTAGCGCTAGCCGGTGAAGCCGTTTCGTGTTTGGACTGTCTCGAATTGACGGAACCCCCCGTGCCACCTAGTGGCAACTTGCCTCTGACTTCAAGGATCATGGAGAAGGATGTTTCTCTGCATATGTTGTACCAGAACAAATTCAGTACCATCAGCGGGATAAAGAGTTTCATGAACACCGTCTGCGCTCGGATTTTCACCGATATCTTGCAACACGTGATGGGGATCGCGCCACAAGCGATCCTCAATCAGCCTCTCGTCATCCCCGGTTTCCCTCACCCGTTATTCGGCAACGTCACCATAGTGCCTAGAGCCATGGACCATGACTTCCCTATAGGAGGCCTGTGGGGATGGCACCCTTGCAACAACGTCACCGAGGACGAAAGGACCCTGTTCCTGACTTTCTCGCGGGGCTTTCCAGTTTCGGAAGACGAAATGAGGGAAGTCTTCACCAGGATACGCGGCGTTTGTGTCGACAGCGTGCACATGCAGGACAATGTCCAAAGGGGTGAGCAGGCATTGTTTGCTAGGATGGTTCTACGTTCCGTCACGAATGTCGATCAGGTATTGAACGGGAGGCGCGTAGCGAAGTACCGGGTCAACGGGAAACACATATGGGCACGGAAGTATGAGCGCAGGGAGTAGATCGGGTAGAATTTTATAGCAGTGTCATGTAGGGTAAGCTTTTGGTTAGGAAGGTTACAGCCTTGAGCGTTTAAAAAGCTTCCTTGTTTGCTATGTTTCATTAATATTTGCCAACTATGTTTTGATGTTGTTTTATGTTAATAAAAAACGAATACTTTCTCAATTTTATTAAAATATTGCGTTTGCCGAGAGTCAAACCCGAATCTATTGCTTGGAAGACAATTATCCTAAACAGGGCCGTGGTTATGTTGTTGGAAGTCTTGTGCAAATTCTTGTAAAGGGACCTTTAAATCTCGAACCTATTTTGATCAAAAAGAGGAAAAAATTACAGTTGTATTACACTAAGAAGACCCACTTGCATTGTTTTTTTTAAATAATTTTGCTTCTTAACGAGATTCAAATTTAGGATCAACAAAGTCATGGGCCCAATGATCTAATTACTGCTCTATACGTAATTTTCTTTAATGACAACAACTGATAAATAAATTCTAATTTGAGGTCCCTATTTTTTGAGGCCATGCGTCATCGCGTACTGTGCGCAGGCTCAGCCACGCCTCTGATCCTAACCATTGAACTACAAACACTATCGATGTCATCATATAAAATCAAAATATAATTATTTGTTTCCCTCATCCCATTAGGAGTGTATACATTATTTTCTCTTTTGTTTTCTACTTTTTGGGGGAGAGGATTTGAATTTTTTTATAGGTTTCTATTATATATTTTTATAGGGTTACGATCCACATACATCCAATGTAAAACTAAAAGTTTTACACTTTTTTAGGATCGTTGGATTGAGAGAAATCAAAGGTTGTGATTAACTCATTATTTTTCCGTGAATATCTTCTTATTTACTACTGTTAGTCTCAGCCTTTGATTTTCTTTTATCCAATGATCCTAGAAAGGTGTAAAAGTTTACAGTTTTACACTATGTAATTGGATCCTAAAAATATGTAAAGCTAAAAGAGTTTTACATTATGTAAGTGAATCTTCTTATTTTTATTTTAGTATATTTGAAGACTGATGTCGGATCAAAAAAGTTCAAAGTGAATTTTTATTTGAGATTTCAAATAAGATTCGAGATCGATGAGACTTTTCTGAGGTTGTATTGAATTGAGTGTTGAGTAAAGATATGGAATTATTGAATATAAAATATTGATGTGATATCTTTAACTCGTACTTCGAGATGTATATATATTATGGGTGCTACAATCTAAACTATCGGTTTTAGTCTGATTTAGTACCTAAACTTTCAATATTTTCAAAACTTAACATTAAATTTTGAATAGAGTACTAAAATAAAAAAAAATTAAAGTTTTTAATGGTGAGATACTAAAATGAAACTAAACTAAACTTTAAGTATGATTTTGAAAAAAATGAAAGTTTAGGTACTAAAACGGATTTAAAATGATAGTTTATGTACTAAACTCATAATTTATCCTTATTATTTGGAAAATTATGTGTTTAATACCTAAACTATCAGTTTTAGTCCGTTTTAGTACCTATACTTTCAATTTTTCAAAATCATACCTAAAATTTAATTTTTGTTTCATTTTAGTAGCTAGTCGTTAAAAACATTAGTTTTGTTTCATTTTGGTCCCCCAATTCAAAATCCAATGTTAAGCTTTGAAAAAAAAATTTGTAGGTATTAAAACGGACTAAAACTGATAGTTTAGGTACTAAACGCGTTAAGTTTTTAACGGTTGGTACTAAAATAAAATAAAAAGTAAACGTTAGGTATGATTTTGAAAAAATTATAAGTTTAAGTATTAAAACATACCAAAAATGATAGTTTAGATACTAAATACTTAATTTGCCCTAAAATCAAGGAAACCCAATTATTTCTCAAAATGTTCAACCCAGTCCTATTTTTAGTACCTGCAAAAGAATTTTTTTTCCTCTTTAATACCTACCTACTCATAAAAGTGTAAAAGATGGCAAGTAAAATAGATAATATTTAATGAGTAAATACGTGTCAAATTTTGATTGGGAGTTTTACTCTCACGTCCTTATACTTGCCCAACAAGAAACCTCACTCTGTGCGTTTCTGCCTCTTTGATTCTCAAATATCTTTTCCATCAGTAAAAGACCACTCCTTTGCTAGTCGAAAACTTTAAAGCTCAAATATTTTTAATGGATTTCAAGTTCAGGGCGATTGACGATCCGCCGCCTTCAACTCCGTCGTCGTCGTCGGGTCAAGCATTGCGACCCGAGTCGAACGTCATTCTAAGCCGGACCGAGGACGTGGAACTGGAGAAGTTGCAGATCAGGGAAGAGATAATCGCGTTGGAAGTCGGTCGTCGGAGAGCCATAGAAGCGGAGGTGAGGACGGAGTTGATGATGGTCGAATGGGAGATGGCGGCCTTGCATCGAGTTAGGGAAACGGGTTTATCTTACGACCCTAGGCTTCCTCTCGTGCCTCATTTTCATGGCCTCCACCGCTGGCGGCCTGATGTCCGTTTCAACTCGTTTCCAACTCCTCCGCAACCGACAGTGCTGCAGCATCCGGTTGTGTTTCCCCCACCGCTGACAGAGGTTTTGGACGCTGAGGTTAAGGATTCTTCGGAAGAGAAGAATAAGTTGATTAAGCTGGTGAGCCCTTTAATTAGTACATAATAAATTATTTCATCGTCAGAAAGTAACGGTTTTTCTATTAACCCCAAGCTTAAAGGCAGGCATAAGCTTGAACAAACTTTAGCTTCATAGCCAGTTTTAGATATTTTTTATTGATAATTTGATTTCATTATTATAACTCTCTAAGTTTGTATGTCGAACATAAAATCTTACATCCGTTCTTGATTATACTCACACTAGTTTATCCCCTTTAGAATTCATGGATACAATAGATTGATGATGAAGTTACTGTTCCATTAGCAACAGTTTTTTCATGGCATATTACAATTATGTTGGGGCTCTCATTGCTTAGCATTGGTATCATGTAGTTAAGTGTGAGTATTCAATTGAGTCAATTAACAAAAGTTCGAGTTGATTTTATAAAATTACAAGTCTAGTTGAGTTGAAAAATTCAGTTTTTTCAAGTCGAGTTTTGCACTTTTGCTCACCCTACTTGTAGTAATGAATGGCAACTCCATACCTCACCGGGTTTGTCCATGCATTGTATGTATGCATCATCTTCTTTGGGATCTCAATGCATGTTCATCTGGTCTTGGTATTCAGTTGACTGCATGAAAAGTTTCTCACGACAGTGGAGAAACCATGCCAATATGTTAGATTAGGGCTTCATGTTAGAACTGCTAGATATGATTAGCATCACAGTTTTCTGGGTAAATATTCTTTTCTTTTGTGTACCGTACGCAGGCCAAGCCTGATCCTAATCGTGTTGTCGGAGAAAAGCGGAAAACGCCACCTCTGGCGGAAACCGCTGAACCGCCTCAGCCGTTGATTAGCTCGAAGGTGAAACAAAATGAGTTGAGTTGTCCTATTTGCCTGACCACCGCCACAAGTGAGAAAGCTTTGGCTGAACACCTTGGTGGTAAGAAGCACAAGGCTAAAGAAGCTATGCAAAAAGCTCAGAAAACGGAGAAGAGTTTCGATGACAGTACCGATACCGAAACATCACGAAAGAAACTCAAATGCTCGGATGAGAAGTTGGAGGATAATGAAAAGATAAAGAACGAAAAGAATGAGCATCTGATTAAGAAAGAAGAGGAGATGGAAAGTTTTACGGAAAAGAAAATCGCAGATTCCCTTGAGAAGAAACATGCACCAACTGTGGTGGACGAGGTGGAAAAAACACCAGAAGTTAGCAAAATGAAGAAATTTAAATTTTGGTGTGAAATCTGTTCAATTGGTGTGCATTCTGAGGTGGTAATGGAAACTCACAAAAAAGGGAGGAAGCACACGGATCGGCTCCTGGAAATTGGCAAAAGCAAGGCAGCTACCCTCTCTACTGCCTCCACTGATACCGTCACCGAGCAGGCAAACTCTACCGATGATGAGATGCCGAAAGTGGCTGATGTGGTTTCAGTGGAGAAGACACCAGAACTTATCAAAAAGAAGTTTAAGTTTTGGTGTGAAATCTGTTCAATTGGTGCACATTCTGAGGTGGTAATGGTAACCCATGAAAAAGGGAGGAAACACATGGCTCGACTCCAGGAAATTGGCAAAAGTAAGGTAACAGACCTCGTTACTGCCACCACCGAGCAGGCAACATCTACCGATGCCAAAAGCCGCTCGTGTGGTTTTTGATGAAGCGAAGCTAATGGATGTTTCAAAGGCTGAAAAGATATAAACTATAAGCTACTGTAAGAGATTACATACTTTCCGGACATGTTGGAAGCTCCCAAAGTTGCAGTCTTTATCTGAAACTTCTAAATAGATTTTGATATTTTAGCTGAAACCCAGAATGTACCCAAGATTAGTAAAACTGCCATTAGTTTGATATTGCTGCATCATTATCTGATCCAGGAGGGTGCATGAATTGATACATAACCTAACAGACAAGATCTTTTTGTGACATTTGAACTAACCTCACCGTGGCACCATTTGGTGTTCGCATCTGTTTCAGGACCTTGGTTTCAGACCCACCGAAACCATCGAGAATATCGAGTGTTTGTGGTCGCATTCTAGTCGAAAGTGACAACTTCCTGCCTACTGCAAATACCCATTTCAAGTACTACCATGATGGAACGGGTTCGCACCATTTATAATTGCAAGCAAGCAATTTTATACATGCCAACTATATATTTTTCTTTACAAAAGGTGGAAAGGAGAACATATAACAGTTAAAAGAAGGGGAGGTTGGCAAGCTAAACTCACTTAGTCCACAACCCCTCCAACTACGAACTTCTATTACAAGAATTTTTTAAACCCTCAATGCTACCTGATCTTGCCATGAGATCTTTCTTTTCCTGACTCTGTTGTTTGGTCCGTTTCCGGTGTTCCTGCAGGCTGATATTTTAATATCATTGTGCTGCTCTTCACCTGCAATTCGGATTGAACTTTTCTTGAATTCCCCTATTTTCATTGAATTGTCCATTGCCTGGAGTTCTTCCTCCTCTCTCTGCAATGGAAGGTAATTGAGACCATGTTAGAATGGAAATTGTAACGAAATTAACTTCTTGTAGTTAGAAGTAGATTACCGAAATCTGGTTTAAATCGAAAACTGGTGTCATGGTTCGAGAAGTAGCCTCCTTCCTACTGTAAAGCCTTTCTCTCTGGTTTAAGTCGAGAATCGGTGAAGAACTCTGTAAAACAGCTTCCTCCTTCCCATAGATGTTTCTATGCTGCTTCTGGTTTAGATCAAACATCATACAAGGATGAATGAAAGCAGTTTCCTTTTCATTACCTGTCTTTCCCTTCTGGTTCAGATCAAATCCCGTAGCCAGACATTGCGTATCCAGACGTCGCATACGATGTTCCTTCCCCGTTAATTTATTGTCCATCACATTCGATTTACTTCTAGCCACCGTACTCCGTGGCTGCACAAAGTTTCGGCCTGGAACGGCGTTTGAAGATCGGTTCTGCATCAAGAACTTGTGCCTCCGTCTCAAAAACCTAAGATCGAAACATGGTCAAAACTCGGAAACCAAAACATCATCTTTATGTCGATAATTGTGATTCTAAAGCTATATGAACCCTAAATTGTAATGGAGGGGTAACATACCGAACTTCGGCCAACAGGGTTAATTTTCGCTCTTTCATCATCATCAATTTCTTTCTCATGGCTTCTGTTTCCTGGAAAAAATACAAAGGACATAATCAATCATCAATTTTATCATCAAACATGGCAATGAAATGAAGACAAGTACATATCAATGGATCAAAAGGGAACAAGAGAAGATCCAAAAAATCAACATGTCATCTTAAATCAACCAATCTTGAAGATTGAAGAAACAAGAACACACACCAAGAAAACCCCCTATGGATCTGATAAATCTGACATAATCCAACACCAAATCTAAAAGCCTGGGGGAAAAAAGGTTACCCTGTGCAAGTCTTCAAAGTCTTGCATAAGGCTCTGGTGCTTGAACCTCCTTTGGTCCTCATACGCACCATATGGAGAGTTCTCCATAGCAACACCAACCCCTTTCATCTTCTTCATGTTTTCGGATCAAAATGGTGAGATTGAGAAAAAGAACCCCGAAAGGCCAAAATAAGGAAATGTGAAGAAGAAAGAGAGAAAATAGGAATAAAAAGGAAGAGTCTTTGATCTAAAAGGAAGAAAGAGAGAGATATGGGGAAAGAACTAACAGAAAAGAATATGAATAAGGCAAAGGGGGAGAGAGATAGGAAGGTTCTCGTTTTGCTGTTTAGCCTCTGAAAAACTCTGACCAAGACAAAGAGAAAAACCCAACGAAGCCCACATAACTCGGTGAAAAAACATGTTATTTTCCATTCAAAGAGCCGAGAGACAGTGATGAAGATTGACTTTTTTTGTTGTCGTTGTTGCAGAAAGGGTATTTCAGGGATAAACGTTTTTAAATTAGTTTTTCTTCCTAAAGGTGGGTTTTTTGGTTGGATGGCATTTGAAGGCATTCCCCCCATCTTCTCCTCTTTGGTTCCTTTCTTGTTTTTCTTCATTACATCAACTTTTTTGGGTCATTCAAGAAAGAGAGTTAGGTGCTACTCTTCTTTGATTTTCTTGGTCTTTTGTTTTGTTTCATGAAAGAGAGAGAAAAGGAAAAGGTAAAGCCCTTGAACAGAGAGAGAGAGAGCAGCAAAAATTTAAGGCTTCAATGAAGAAAGTTATTATTTTTCATTTCACAGTATTCATGGTCCCATTGCTTGTTCATTTCCCAACTTGCCATTGCCTTTGTTTTTGAAAGAATGCTTCAATTTCAACCCTTCTATCTACAAGCTATCATGATTTGGACTCATTCATGGCAAATTAATGGTGGTGTACCACAATGAACACCGATGATGGTGAAAATCAGCAGAAATCTTCTGTTTAGAGAGAGCCCTTTGAATAGCTTAAAAAGAAGGGTTAACTATGAATTTAATACCTAAGTTATCAGTTTTGTTCTGTTTTAGTATTTAAACTTTTAATTTTTTCAAAATTATAACTAAAGTTTAGTTTTCATTTCATTTTAGTATCCACAGTTTAAAACTAACGTTTTTAATGCATAAACTATTAATTTTAGTCTGTTTTAGTACTTAAACTTTTAATATTTTCAAAACTTAATGTTAAATTTTGAATGGTGTACTAAAATGAAACAAACACTAAAGTTTTTAACTGCGAATACTAAAATGAAACAAAAACTAAATTTTAAGTATAATTTTGAAAAATATTAAAAATTTAAATACTAAACGAATCAAAACTGATAGTTTAGTACTATCAGATACTAAACGCGTGATTTACCCTAAAATAAATTAGAACCGATTAAAAAAAAGAGATACAAAGCACATGAATTATGCATATTACTGTATTATTATTAGTATTATTCTGCAGTTCCAAAACCCAGGCTTACATGTGAAAGCGGAAGCAATGGCTTTCGAATTATGTCAAAAGGTTTGTAGTGGAGGACCAAAAAGGGTTGAAAAAGAGTGTACTTTATGTTGCTCTAATTGTTTGCTTTCTTCTGTTGAACTGTTTAAAGCAATGGGTAAAAGCAAGTTGGCCATTTCCACCATTGATGACACTTTGGGAGTGCTTATTATCACTGTTTAGTATTGGTTTTTTTGATTTGGTGGGAAATGAGAAGAGAGATTCTGAGATAGGGTTGTATAAAAAGTTTGACCATAAAAATTTGGTGAATACACCAGTAAACTTCATAGGTTATATGGAGGGACATCATTAGGAATGAGTATTTGATCGAGATAAATTAAGTCGAATCGAGTTTATTAACCTTTAACCATAACTATGACAGTTTGAAGTTTGAAATTGATAAAGTTAAGTAGTCGAGTTTGAATTTTATTAGGAATGAGTCTTTGAACCGTCTGGTTTTTGGTTGAATGTTGAATGCTTGTTTTGACGCGTGTGGTCTTATGGGAAGGTTTGAACATGGAAACTATGGTGGATTGATTGACCAAAACACTTGTAAAGTATATGAGGAGGGTGATGACGCACCTTCCAAGGTAACATTACATTCGTTTTCGATGTGTACCGGATGTTAGTTCCAATGTCTATACCATATGTGGTCTGTTCGGACGAAAATGGCGAAACATATTGCTAGCATTTGATCTTGGTAATTGGGTAGATCAATGTGGATACCATATGTGGTCTTTGTTTTGTCATGCCTTAGATAAGCTATATCCGCACTCCATGCACATCGGATGCTTGCTTTCTCCATGGTAAAGATAAAATCAGAAATAGGCCACTTTTGTATCCGTGTGTGAAACGTATACGGTGAGGCTGTCTGCAAAATTATGGTAGTCTTAACTCAATATGCTACGGTTCGTTGTGTTCTTTATATGCATTAGAGAGAGACTATGGCTCTAGTTCTATGTCTTATCATATATTTACAATGTTTCATAATCACTATCTGTTTCGAAGTGGCGATATTGATCGACTGTTGCACGAGCTTCATCATCACTCACGGTCGCACACGATAGTTGAAGAATGTTCCATGGTTGGCTCTCTTCCTCCTTTGAAACTAATGCTTCTCTCCTAGTAATTTGGTTTTAGGCAGGAATCCTTGGAAACATGCAAAACCTCTACGAGACGGTGAAGAAAGCACAAATGGTTGTCCAGGTTGAGTCTGTGCGAGTGCCACACTGGTGGAGCTCGGTTAGGGGATTGAAGCAATGATGATCTCTTGACTGGCGCCTGGTTTAGCCTTGATGGTTGCGTACAAACTAATGGTAGAAATACAAAATGCAACCTAACACATTTCCAGAAATGTAATTCAGTCTTTATGTAAAACCACAACCAATCCTAACTCAAAAGAATCATAAACTTCAGTCCATCCTCCAACCTAACACATTTCCAGAAATGCAAAATGGGAATATTTTTTAGGGAAAAAAGGGTTTTGTGAATTACATTTGTGTGAGATTTCATTACCTGCTTGCCAGAATACCATGGAGTTTTGATATGGTTATTGTGATGGCTAAGGGCAAAACTGATGGCTGTCACTGGTACAACTGAATCTGGGTCTCCGCCGCATCAACAACAACAGTAATTAGTCCCTCGTGGATGAAAATCGTTGGTCAACAAACAGTCTATACGACAAAATATGAGACTTTTTGCCCTAAAACGAAACGTTGGAGCCAAAATAATTCCAAAAAAAGGTTGAAATGACTATTTAGTAAAATGTTAGGAGTCTTTTGTCCTAAAATAAAATGTTGAGGGTCAAAATGACTATTTAATCAAACATTAGAGGCTTATTTTTTAGTATTATTCCTTTTAAAAACTCACCTGAAAACCCATATTCTTAGTCAGCTCTTTGTATATTGGTAGCATTGAACTTGCAGAGTCTTTCCAGTTCTTTATAACGTCACATTCCAATGACGAAAGAAAAAACCCAACCCATTTCACAATTAAAATAGAGTTCAAGTGACGAGTGTTTATTTTATGCAACATTTTATGTTTAAATACTCCTCGTTTACTTATTATTATTGTTGATATGAGTTTTTTCCATGATTTTTATGCAGAGAAATGACTTCTGGAAAATATGCTTAAAATGACTAAAAACTGTATTTTTTGTTCAGGAATCAATGTTGGAATAGTGTATTTTTTGTTCAAGAATCAATGTTGGAAGAGTGGTCATGAATTCGGGCATAAAATGTTGATGTGGCAGCGAGTCAACAGTTTCTAGAAGATTCAGTCAACAACTTCCAGAAGGTTCAGTCAGTTGCTTCCAGAAGGTGGACGAATGACTATAGTATTTCAAACATTTTAAATTCAAATTTTTAGGATTTATCTTTTTATTTTTTAGATTTTAAATTCAAACAATTATTTTTGCATTTTTAGCTTATTTTAGGGTTTTTAGAAGACTATAAATACCCCTTCGATTAAGTCTAAATCAATCATTTCATTCATCAAATTCTTCTTTTGTCTTTTAGATCATTGCGATCTTTTCTCTCTTTGTTTTTATAAAGTTCTCTTTTTAATTTTTACTTTGTTACTTTTAAAGCTTTTATTTTAAAAATACTAAGTATGACTTTCGCCATGCTTACCTAATTTTCTTTCAAGGTGATGGCTAAACCGATGACTCATTTCCAACGTGATAATTGAAAAGCACTTAAACAACTTCATATACATTTCTTAGTTTTTTGCGCTTATTTCAAAATCAAAGCAATTTTCAAAACTAAATATTGACGTTGGTCAGGATGTTGTTATGGTTAATTATGTGGGAGGAAGAATCGGCTTATTGAAAGCACATTTGACTTCCTGGAACACATTTAACAAAATTGTTTGCTAAGCGAAAATTGATATCGGAATCAGTTATTATTGAAACAACATAATCAGAGTCGATCTTTTACAAACTTAATCGATTTTGATCTACAACATTGAAGTTGATTAAATCCATTTCCAAAACCGAAATCAAAAGTTGCACTTGAGTTTTCGGTATACAAAAACATAGTCACAATGATTGGTCTTGTAAACAAGTAACTGACATGAATCTCGAAGTAAATACCTCTTTCGATGATCTGAGTAAACTTAGTCAAATCAAAAGCCAAAGGCTAATTTATATCAATTGAATTTCCAATCTTACTTCCTTTAAATTTACTTCTTTTTATTCTTTATGATCTGCATCACTTTCTTACTTTTATGTCATTCCCTTCATCTATAAACCCCTCGTTTACTTAAACATTACTTCATTCACTTCTTGGCTCAGAAGTTAAATCAAGCATAAATTAGGAAGTTTCCTTAGTGTATGTGAAATCGATCTTTACTTCTCTTTTACTACATTTAATTTCTTTTATTTATTATTTGAGAAAAAAAATATTTTAACGTGAAAACAACGTGCGTCATCAAGTTAATCAATAAAGTACCTAGAAAAAAATACCTGCAAGCAGTCTCATAGCCTTCTGCACATCTGGTCTATTATAGTATTTCTCTGCATAGTTTTCGGTACACGGATCGTAACCCGAGATCCGTCGATGCAAGAGATTACTTTTGAGCCTTATGTGTCGTTTCGAATCGTTTGTTAACGCCGGACATGATGGAGTATAAATGTTGTAGTGATCGACGTTGCCGAACTCGTGGTTAATGGCATAATTTGCAGCAGCAACACATTTTGCAGACCTTGTCTGTGCTGTGAAATTGCAGTACTTCATGATGGATTTGTATGTTTTATCTGATATCATGGAATGGTTCCACCAATATGTAACAGTTCCAATGCTGTCATAGTAATTGTCTGTCACAACATTTCTTACATGCATATGGTCAAACAATGTTCGAGCTTTTCGGTCGATTGTTTCGGATAAATTATGTATGTGTTTGATTTGCTTACCATGAATCCTTTAAGATCGATGATTGGATTCGAGTGAGCTTCATTATAATCATGGATTCTCTTGGTCAACTGAGGAACATAATGCCCTGTACAAACATCGACGATAACTTGCACAACAAGTTAAGTAAAATGATCGAAAACACGTCGGCGACCGTCATTTACTTGCATAACTTTCTCCGGTGATGTAGAATTCTCGGTGCCTGTAGGCCGCAAATCTAGACATCCATCTGATGAGAAACAGATAAGTGCATCCCGAGCAGTGTCATAAATAAACTAATATCATTGGGATTGACTGGTATATATACACACGTCGATGATGAGACATTGAAATACCTGTCCCGTTGTCGCCGGAGTCTCTAAGATCGGAGCTTGTATTCGTGTAGGAGAATCCAACTCCAGCAGGTGATTCCTGGAACAGAATGTTTGCTTCTGCAAACCATGAAGAAATTGGATTTCGTTTCATTGACATTGTTATAAACTTGACGCCACTTTCATACGATATCGAATTCGATACATTCGGACGTAGATATAAACTTTTAATATTGTGTTTGTGTTCGTTTGTTTAATTTTTAAGGTTTTATAATCATCTTTTTAGTATTCACAAACATATTCGTTTAACGTTCACAAACATATTCGTACATCTGTTCTCCATGCACTCTCTTTTTACTCTTTTATTTGCAAGCCAAAGAAAAACGATGAAATATATCACTCGTTTTTAAACTCCTTAAACTTCACAATTTGAACTTCAAAGTTCACCATGTGTTCAATTTAATCTATACCTCACTAATATCCAAAATGTAAAAATATATAAAGAAAATGAGTACAGAGTAAGCGAGTTTATAAACGAACTCGTTTATTAACCTTTGTTCGTGATCGTTCATCATTTATTAAAGGAACATATAAATTTTGTTTATGCTCGTTTATTTAGCTTAATAATCGAACATTATAGAAACGATTCACAAATATTTCATCGAACGATCTATTTATTTACACCCTTAAATATCACCAGACACCCCCAAATTCCAAATTAGTTCTTAAGTTTTAAGAAGTTCTAATTAAATATATAAAGTACCAGTGTTAATATTGTATTGTTGGGAAAATTCGATAATTTTGAGTTTTGAATGAGAAATTGATCCAAACGTTGTTGAGAAAATGTGGAACCATTTGTTGGTTCGTAAATGTGCACGATGTGAGTAGCGTGAATGTCCGAACTGGTCAAGCTCTTTGTGGGCTTACAAATATTTTAACCCAAAGGTGAAATATTTTTTTCCTCAAATAGAATATTTTTTTTGCAAAATCTGTTTTGGAATTAAAAGATAAATATTAAAAAGGTTCATTTATTCAAAACAATAATTTTGGAAATTGTTTAATTACTTGATTCTCCTTAATGCTTCATTAGGTAAAAATTTTCCAATGAAAATACTAGTTTGAACTCTTCCTCCATTTCTAGGTGAGCAAAACAGCTTGTGCAACTAGGACCGTAAATGAAACGAGACAAATCGTAAGCTACTCGAGATCAATTTGATCAAAACTATCATAAATACTCGACTCGAATGGACTAGATTTTAGCTTGAGCTCGACTCGAGTTCTTAACGAGTCGAAACAAACTACTTGATACTCGACTCGAAAAGCTCTTGAGCAGCTCAAAAATATAATTTATTAAGATTTTATTTAAAAAATATTAATAATATTAACATTTATGTTTTCACTTTTCTAAAAAAATGCAATATAAGGTTTTTCATGTATTTAAGGTTTAAGTTTGAGTTTGAGGTTTTAATCGAGTTAAGTTTAAGATTGTTTTTTATTTCGAATTTTTTCGAGCTTTTACGAGCTTTAGTTTATGATTTCGAATTCGAGTCGAGCTTAAAATTTTCAAACTCGTGAATTTTCGAATCAAGTTAAAACTCAGCAATACTCGAATTCCACTCAACTCGTTTTAAGCCCTACATGCAACCCCACATCATCATCATCATCATATTGTTTACAAAAAGAGAATGTAGGGAGAATAGGGTTTTCTTCTTTTTTTACTCTTCGATATAACATCAAAATATATATCGTTGATGAGACTAAATATATTGCTAGGTATATTAGTGATTTATCCTTTTAATTTAAACGAAGAATTACGACGGATGGAAATCGACTATTGACAGATGTTAAAATATTTTGTCTTCATGAAGAAGTATGGTAAAGAAGAATTAAGCTAGAGTGATTTCATTAAAGTCGCATCTCGTCTCTCGGTCATACTCAAGTAATTATATAGAAACTCTAAGTTGTGCGTGTCAGTCGTAAGGTTATAATGGTTGTATGTTGACTGATAAATTTGATAGATATGATCAAATGACGATAAATTTAATTATGTCAGATCACATAGAATTATCAGAGGTCATATTAATTAGTGTGTGTCAGTCGTAAGGTTATAATAGTTACTTGTTGATTGATAGACTAAGTAGATATAGTCAGACGACGATGAATTTGATTTTGATATATCACACAGGATTGTTAGAGGTCATATTGATTATGGGAGGCTTTTTGAGAAATGTTAGATTATTGACAGTTCTTCTATCGAGATCAACGTAGCCCGAAAACTGCAAAAAGGCCACTGGTGGCTATCCCGAAAGTGATGAAATTTGACGATGAGTGAAGCTAAAAAGAAGATGAGAAAGCCTTTGGTTTGAAAGTACTTTGTTGCTGCCATTTTTCAAAAAATAAAGCCTATAGGTAAAGGTCACTGGAAATATATTAATCTCACAAGAGAATATATAGGTAAATGGGAGTGTAGGGCTAAAGCAATAACTTTATATATGGTCAATTATATGTGCTATTACTCACAACAATATACAGGTTAGGGCAGGCTATTGAGGGCTCCTAGTCCTACAAGAGGGCCATACTGTATACATATATATGTAATATGTTCATGGATATAGTTACAGAAATTAATACCTTCAAACTACGGGTTCCCGGGGGGATGAAGATCAGTGGTAGATTACGGTTTTGAAAACTCTCATGGCATGAATTAGGGATGAGTATATGTTAGGTCGGGTTTTTGGTTGACTCGAATTCGATTCTAATATGTTAAAAAGGCATATTTATAGAAAACATGCTCCAACTATTTTATTCATCATAAAACAAAGTTTACAAAATTAAATCCTTATATACAGCCCACCAGCAGTTACTAGCCTAACTAACAATCTAACTAATTAATAACATCAACCTAACTGATTATTAATAGCCTAACTAACTAAATAACCGAAAACTAACACTCCCCCTCAAGTTGGTGGTTAAAGATGTTGATTAACCCCAACTTGGAACTCAAATATTCATGTTGTTGAACTCCCAAGGCTTTTGTTAGAATGTCTATCTGCTGGTCTGTTGTCTTCATATACTCTGTTTCAATTATTCCTTCTTGAATTTTTTTCTCGAACAAAATGGCAATTAATTTCAATGTGCTTTGTTCTTTCATGGAAAACTGGATTTGTTGCTATTTGAAAAGTTGCATTGTTATCACACATCAATTTTGATGGTCCTGTGTTTTTAAACCCAAGTTCATTAAACAAACCTGTTAACCACACTATTTCTGTAACAGTCAACGATACTCTGCCTCTGCAGATGACCTTGCAATTGTATTTGTTTCTTGGACTTCCAAGATAGCAAAGAGTACCCCAGTTTCACACAAAAACTTGTTACTGACCTTCTAGTCATTGCGCAAGTTGCCCAATCTAAATCACAAAAGGCTTGAAGTTGGCATTGACTTTCTGTACTCAACAACACTCCTTGACCTGGACTGCTTTTGATATACCTGACCACCCTCAAAGCTGTATCCAAGTGTAATTTCCTTGGTTTCTGCATGAATTGACTCAGCAATTGTACTGAATAAGCAATATTAGGCCTTGTGTTGGTGAGGTAAATTAACTTCCCAATAAACCTTTGATAACTTGTCTTGTCCTTTAATAGCTCATGTTCTAAAGCCAACCTCTTATTTTGTTCCAAGGGAGTTGCAGCAGGCCTTGCACCCCCAGTCTAGTTTCTTCAGTTAACTCCAATGCATACTTCCTTTGACTTATAACTATTCCCTTTTATGATCTTAATATTTCTAAGCCAAGAAAATACCTTAGTTCACCAAGATCTTTCATTTTGAAGCTTCTATTCAGAATTCCTTTGAGTTCTTCAATCAATTCATTGTCATTTCCAGTTATCAAAAGATCATCCACATATATGAGCATTATGACTATTTTGCTTCCTTGTGACTTAATGAGTAGTCAAACTTGTTTTGAGAATATCTTTCCATCAGAAGAGCCTCTGTTAGTTTCATGTTCCACTGCCTTGAAGACTGCTTCAATCCATACAAGGATTTTTGCAGTCTGCATACCCTGGTCTCCCCCTGACTACAAAAACCCTCAGGTAGGGACATGTATACCTCCTCAACTAAATCACCTTGGAGGAAAGCATTATAGACATCCATCTGAAAAAGAGGCCATTTATGAATAGAAGCAAGAGCCAGAACTGTTCTAACAGTGACAATCTTTGCCACAGGTGATAAGGTCTCAACATAATCAACCCCTTCTCTTTGAGTGTATCCTTTAGCAACAAGACAAGCTTTAAACCTCTCCACTTCTCCATTCAAATTATATTTGATGTGATACACCCACTTACTTCCAATGGAAGTCTTATTAGAAGGCATGGGAACCAATGACAAAGTATTATTAGTTTCCAAAGCTAAAATCTTCTCATTCATGGCTTTAATCCATTCAGGATTTTGAATGGATTCAGTATAGGTCTTAGGCTCAACTAAATGAGATATAGAAGAAAGTTAAAGTTGAGTTTTAGCAGGAAGATGAGAATAAGAAAGAAAGTTAGAAATTGGATAAGTACCTGGAAGAGAGGAAGATTGGTATGACTGCACATAATCATGTAACCAAACAGGCTATTTTTTTACCCTAGCAGACTGTCTAAGAGGGATAGAAATGCTACTTGATGAAGAGCCATCAGAAATAATAGGCTGAGGTGAAGTTTGAGGTAAAAGGGAATCATCTGTTGAAGCTTAAGGTGATGCAGATTGAGTTGAAGACCCAGAATGTATAGAGGATTGGGTGTGAGAGGGCATGACTAGAAAATCAGAGTCAGAAATTTCTTGAATAGGAAAAAATAGAGAAGAAGAAGAAATGGGAAATTGGAAGGAGAAAATGTCCTCATGGAATTTAATATCTCTATTAACAAAGAATGTTTGTTTGTCAATATTGAACAGGAGGTAACATTTTTTAGTGGCAGAATAACCCATAAAGATGGAAGGTATTGCTTTTGGGGAAAACTTATCCTTGTAGTTTGGTTGGGTGGCATAACATAAACAACCAAAAACTCTCATATGAGACAAATTGGGAGGTTTACCATGAAGAAGTTCAAAGGGGCTTTTACCAGCTAAAGAAGAAGAAGGCAACCTGTTAATGATATAACAAGTTGTATTGACACATTCCCCCCAAAACTTAACAGGAACTTGGGAATGAAATTTGAGGGCTCTAGCTACCTCTAACAAATGCTTGTGTTTTCTTTCAGCAATGCCATTTTCCTGATGAGTATGAACACAGGAACTTTGATGAACAATACCCAATGAAGAAAAAAAGAAGAACACTCATTAGCAAAAAACTCAGAACCATTGTCACTTCTAATGAACTTAATTGTGACTGAAAAATGATTTTTTACATAGACAAAAACTTTTTTAAAAAGAGGATTGCATCACTCTTAAGCCTCAACAAAAAAAAGCCAAGACATCCTTGTGTGGTCATCAATATGGTGAGAAAAGATCTATAACCACTATGAGTGGAAATCCTATAGGGTCCCCATAGGTCAATATGTACCGAATCAAAAGGTGCAGAAGATCTAGAAACACTGTGGGGAAAAGGTAACCTAGATTGTTTACAAGAGGACAAATGGAGCATTTATGGACACTGTCAGCATGAAACTTATAAGATTGTAAATATGGAATTTTATGTAAACTAGAGAAAGAACAGTTTCATAAACGAGCATGTCAAGTTTTGTATTATTGACAGTTGAAAGATTCATACAATTTGAAGAGCCCAAAGAAGGACTACAAGAAAAGGAATTACAATGACAAACAAAAAAAATACCAGAATCAAAAGTTAAAGAATCAAAAAAATGCAGCCCACGAGATTCCATACCAATCCCCTTCATCTTTCTAGTGGAGAGATCCTGTAAAATGCAGAAGTCAGGGTAAAATGAAACAGTACAATTAAACTCTTTGGTCAGTTTAGAAACAGACAGAAGGTTATGTGTAAAATTTGGAATTAGCAGGACATTTTTAAGGGAATTATTCTGGTCAAAACAAAAAGAACATGTATGTGTTATGGGGGTTGTTTGGTCATTAGGTAAGTGTACAAATCTAGAAACTGATGTGCAAGGAACATGAGAGACTAGTCTTTGAAAATTTGATAACATATGATCAGTGGCCCCTGAGTCTAATATCCAATTGAAAGAAAGACTAGTGGTGACAGAGTTAATACCTGTAGTATTTGCTACAGCAGCTGGCATTGTATCCACAGAAGGTGCCTTGTTCAAGAGGTGAAGTATTTGATCATATTGAGCCTTTGTAAACATAGGAACATTGGAGACAGTATCTGGTTGTGACTCAGAACTTGACTGGTTGTGGGAACCAAGAGGAGACCGAGTAGAGGCCAAAGCAGCCTGACCACCTTTCTTCTTTGAAAACTTAAAATCAGCAGGAAATCCAATCAACCGGTAGCAATTCTCACTCTTATGCCCTCGAACTTTACAGTAGTCACACACACCAAAAAAAATTTTATCAGCAGTCCCAACAGAGGTAAAGTACAAAGCCGAGACCTCAGAAATTGGAGAAAGAGCAGAAGAGTGAATCCTTTGCGCTTCCTCCTAAACCAGCATCAAATACGCCATATTCACAAACGATAATGGATGCATGAGTAGAATTTGAATCCGCACAGTAGTATATGTCTCATTGAGACCCATGAGAAATTGAAATAGTTTCTGTTGTTCATGGTGAACAGTCGTGCGTTGTGAAAGAGCACAATCGCATGGGAAATGGGAGCCAAGGCTTCATACTCATCCCAGAGTGATTTCAGTCGAGTGAAATAAGTTGAGATGGAAGAATCACCTTGATTCAGGAGCGCGATTTCTCGGTGAAGGAAGAAGGATATGGAACCATCAACCTTGGCAAATATTTCCCTCAAATCCTGCCAAACCGCGACGGCACTAGATGTGAAAACAATCCCAGCGGATAGCTCTTTGCTGACTCGTGATACCTTGTTAAAAAGGCATATTTACAGAAAACGTGCTCCAACTACTTTATTCATCATAAAACAAAGTTTACAAAACTAAATCTTTTATATACAGCCCACCAGCAGTTACTAGCCTAACTAACAATCTAACTAATTAATAACAACAACCTAACTGATTATTAACAGCCTAACTAACTAAATAACTGAAAACTAACATAATATTTACTCGATCTGATTCAATATATATATATATATATATATATATATAAGTAAAATAGGGACTTAATTAAAAAATATAGAGATAGACGTTATTATTTGCAATTACCCCTAAATATAAGGGATACTTATACTATTATTTTAGGTTAAAGATTTTTCATCATAAATATGAACTAGACATTTCAAAAAAAAAAATTAACTCAATCTGACCCGAACCTATTTTATTTAAAAGAACTTTAACAAAATAAAATTAGGTCGAATTAAAATTTATCAAGTCTAAATCATGTGAATTCCCACTTAAAACAATTAAAGTGATATATATCAAAAAAAATTTTAAATAAAATTATTTTTAACAGAGCCGACTATAAGGAGCGCCCTGAGTAATTTTTCATCTTTGTAATTAAGGCTCCCATTTTTTATATTTTTAATTAGGGTCTCTAATTTTTTTAAATCTTTTATTTTTTATCTTTATAATTGAGGTCGTTTTTCTTAATTTCACTTTTTATCTTTATAATTGAAGTCTCTAATTTTTTCAATTCCATTTTTTGCCTTTATAATCGAGGCCTCTAATTTTTTTAATTACATTTTAAAATTTTATAATTGAGACTCCTAAATTATTTTAATCTTACTTTCTACCTTCATAATTGATGTCCCTAGTTTTTTAATCTCACTTTTTACCTTTACAACTGAGGCCCATAATCATTTTCAATCTTACTTTCTACTTTTATAATTAAGTCCCATAAGTTTTTTCAATCTCACTTTCTACCTTTATAATTGAGACCCCTAATTTTTTCTGTTTCATAAAATTCTCAATTTCTCATCCATTTCTTCGTCTCTCTCGTTAATTAATTTAATTTTGAATTAAATCCAATCATATTTGTCTCTTTTTTTACAAATCTCATTTTTTTAATTTACCGAATATTCTTTAATTATCAGACTTCTTCAATCTCAACCTAACGATAAAATAATTCTTTATTCTTTATTTTTTTAATTTATTACTCAAAATAAGTTTATATCATAATTCATACCCAAGTTCGATTTTTTTTCTCTTAGTTGTATTTAAGATGTTTTCTTAACAAAACAATGAAAATAATATTTGATAAAATTTAATCATTCTAAGCTTTATTAATATAATATTAAATTAACTATTCAAAGTAATATAATATACTTTCATTCTATAAATGTCTATTTTTGAGTTTTCGCTCAAGGCCTTGAAAATGTTCGAGACGGCTCTGACTTTTAATAAAATTTGAAATATTTTTAAATTTTTAAAATGTGTGTCCATAAACAAACACAATCAAAACAAAATTTAGTTAAACAAGCAATTTAACAATATAATTCAACTTCTTTATTTTAAAGTCACCTAGAAACAATCGAATCGGTAGGATTCGAAAAGGGCCACTAATCAACAAAAATTCTTTAATTTTAATAATTAAATTGTAATAAATTATAAATATTCATTTGTTAATTTTTATTTTTCAATTGTATGAATAAAATTTTAATTTCGTTCAATTTTATAAATTATTAAAACTGGTATTCACATGATATATTTTATGTTAAAATAATATATATATATATATATATATATATATATATATATATATATATATATATATATATATATATATCAAATATAAAACAAATTTATTTATTTAAATATGTATAATTAAATTAAATTAAATCATTATATATATATATATAATTAATCCAAATTAAAATATATAAACATAATTACATCAAAATAAATTTTTTATTATTTTAGTATTTATAAAAAAAATTGGGTAAACTACACATTTAGTACTTAAACTATTAGTTTTTTTCTATTTTACTACATAAATTTTTCAATTTTTTAAAACCATACATAAATTTAGTTTTTGTTTCATTTTAGTATCCGTTCAAATTTTAACGTTAAATTTTCAAAAAAAAATGAAAGTTTAGATACTAAAACATACCAAAATTGATAGCTTAGGTACTAAACTCATTAAGTTTTTAATAATAAGCTAAAATGAAATAAAAACTAATCGTTAGGTATGATTTAGAATTTTTTTTGCAAGTTTAGGTATTAAAATATATCAAAATTAATACATTAGGTACTAAATGTATAATTTACCTAAACATTTGATGTTCCCAAAGCTCGTTGACAAACCATCATTTAATCTTGAAAGTGAAGATAAGGCATGGAGATGGAATCCTCGTCAACCCGCAATTTACTATATTAAAATTCATAATCGTGAGCGTATTTATATAATATATAATATTATTATAAAATATAACAGAAAACTAAGTTATTAATTATTTTTATATATCATAAATATTAAAATATCATAAAATTAAAATATAAATATTATAAGTTGTATTTATAATTTAACGAGAAATATAATTATAAATACTTAAAATTTAATATAACATTCAATCTGTATATATATATACACTATATATAGAGATTATTTATATATTTATTATAATAATTATATTTATTATTTTTTTAAATTAAATTAGTATTTCTTGACATTAATTAAGGCAAAATAATAAAAATACTCCAACGTTTGCACACAAATTTTAATTACTCCGTCGTTTTATTTTGGAGTAAAATATATTTGAACATATCAAAATTGTTAGTTAACGCTTCTTATTGATATGGCAAGTTCAAGTGTGATTAATTATAATTTACTCTAAAAATATTTTTTTGAAGTAACGTCACATATGAACTTGTCACGTCCGTATGAAATATTATTAGTTAGTCTACTAATAATTTTTATTTAATCAGAGGATATTTTGCTTAAAAATAAAATGTTGAGACTAAAATGCTTCGAATAAAGGAAAGGGAGCAAATATGGATGAGCATGGGACCTAAACTAGATAGGTTTCGACCCAATCGGGTCAGGGTTTTTTTTAATTTTGGTTCGGGTTTAGGGTTAAAAATATCCGATCCGAAAAAATATATAATTTTACCTTATATATTCAAGAATAATTACAATAATACCCCTCTATATATAATTTTTTTCAATTAAGTCACTATTTTTATTGAATAAAAATAATATTTTTTATTATTTTAAGCCTAATCAGGTCTGGTCAGGTTTCTATATTTTATATCAGGTCGGAGTTGATCAGGTTGAGTCTCGAATGAAAGATCCATTAATCTCGAGTCAAATCAGATAAATCAAAAACCCGACCTATACTCATCCATACTAGCAAAGCAACCATTTGTGCAAACGGAAAATAATGACTATTTTGGATCAAATCCGATTCTATGTTTATTTCACTTCCAAAAATTATTACTATATATACTGCCAAACATAAACGTTTCCCCAATTTTGTTTTCCCCCCTTTATTTTGGTGGGTTTTGGTAGATTTCGAGGGGAAAATCAGGTATTTTTCCTCCCTATTAACTTTTCGATGTTTACGAGATTGCTCCTTGTTTCGATTTATATGTTTTTCATCTTTAATTTATTAGCGTAGAGGTATTGATTTGATTGTGATTCCCGATCTATTAAACAGCTCTCAAGTTAGAACCTCTGTTTCGTTTTGTTTGGCATCTGAGAAAATTGTAGATTTAAGGTTGGATTTTCAATTGGGGATATTGGTTTCACTCCTTTTTCTTTTATATTTGTTACTTTCAGATGATAGAGATATCAAAACGATCAAAATCGGTGCTTTCTTGATTCTATTATTGGAACGTTTTCAGCGGTGTTCTATCTAATATGTGAAATTTTCTGGAGGATAGGGAAAAGGACAGATAAATTTGATTATTTTTTGTTGTTGTTGTTTATTGATTGCTTTGTTGCACGGTTATGTGGTTTCTATTGCATGGGTGTGTGAATTTTGAGTTTTGATTTGATTGTATCGCAGGAGATTCATTGAAACCAAAAGATGTTAGAGCAATTGCTGATATTTACGAGGGGAGGATTGATCCTCTGGACGTGTAAAGAGCTTGGGAATGCTCTTAAAGGGTCACCGATTGACACCTTGATCCGGTCTTGTCTTTTGGAGGAACGCTCTGGTGCAGCGTCATATAACTATGATGCTCCAGGTGCTTCTTATACCCTCAAGTGGACCTTTCATAATGAGCTTGGCCTTGTATTTGTCGCTGTGTATCAGCGCATTCTCCATCTTTTGTATGTGGATGATCTTCTTGCACTGGTTAGGCGTGAGTTTTCTGAGATCTATGATCCAAAAAGGACGGCCTATAATGACTTTGATGAAATTTTTAGGCAACTTAGGATGGAAGCTGAAGCTAGGGCTGAGGAGCTTAAGAAATCAAAACAGATGGTTAAGCCTGTCAATAACGGTAAGAAGCAAGGGCAGCAGGCCCAGAAAGTTGGCTTTGATAAAGGAAATAAGAAGCAGGGTAACTTGGCTGCTGATGGTGGAGATGATGATAAAGGGAAGGGTCGTAAATTGGGGAATGGGCACTCCAATGGTAATAATTTTGAGAGTGAAGAACCTAGGATGACAGCTGTTGTAAATGGTAAAGAAAACACTAGTTCCAATGTTAGTGCTTTTGATGTAACTAAGCTTCAGAAAAGAACTAAAAGTGGAAAGAAGACTGACACTGTAGTTAACAAGGGTTCCAAGGTGGACCCTAAGAAAAAGGTTACCAAGAAGAATAGAGTTTGGGATGATGCTCCTACAGAGACAAAATTGGACTTTACTGACCCAGTGGATGGAAATGAGAATCAAGAGGTTGTTGCAGCAAGTCAAGGTGAAAGTATGATGGACATGGAAGAGATTATTGGCAGTGATAGTGAAAGTGAAGAAGATGACGATCTGCAGAAGGATAGCAAGCCTGAAGCTAAGAAAAAGGGCTGGTTTTCCTCTATGTTCCAGAGGTAATTTATTTATGTAGTTACGTCATATGGTTTGTAACTTTGTTCTTGGGTATACTTGTTACATCTTCATGACGAGTCAAATTCATTTTCCCTGATTCGTTTTGGAACATTGATTCATAGCTTGTGTTTATTATGTTCAGATGTTCCTCATTAGCCATGTCCTCATTTATTTGATTTATTTTTTTATACAGCCTTACAACTAGAGTTGCAAATGTTTGCTTCATTGAGTCGGCCCTTTTAACATTGCCTTGTGTGGCTTTATATTAAACAGGGAAACATGGCTTTAGTGGTATAAAATTTCTGCTAGACATTAACATTTAAACAGTGGAGTATTTAAATTTCATTTGCTTGTACCATTACCTATTCTCCAGTCTCAGAGTTTTGAAGCTTTCTGTTTTCCCTTCTTAGGGTACTTTAAGTGGCAGACAGAACTAGATGCTCCTGGACATGTTTCATTTGGTCTTTATTCAACTGTTAGTGGAAGCTTTTATCATGCCACTGTAGTAATTATTGTCCAGTTATATCATTTATTAATTTTCTACTTTATTGGGCTCAGTATTGCTGGAAAGGCAAATTTGGAGAAGGAGGACCTGGAACCAGCTTTGAAGGCTCTGAAGGATAGGCTTATGACCAAGAATGTGGTATGTTTTCTGCTAATCTAACGTATTTGTTTTCTGATGTATTAGTACCTGTTGATGTCCATAGAGCTGCTTAGTTATATGTGGCATTTACAGGCTGAGGAGATAGCAGAGAAGCTTTGTGAATCAGTAGCTGCAAGTCTTGAAGGGAAAAAACTGGCCTCATTCACAAGGGTCTCATCAACTGTGCAGGTCTGCAAACTTTCATCTTTACTATGTGAACTCTCGATTTATCCTTTTCTTTTGTTTTCCTGCCTGTTTATTTTGTATAAATTTATTTGTCTATGGTAATTGTGACTGCAGGCTGCGATGGAAGAAGCCCTTGTTCGTATTTTAACTCCTCGGCGCTCCATTGACATACTGAGGGACGTGCATGCTGCCAAGGAACAGAGGAAGCCCTATGTTGTTGTCTTTGTTGGTGTTAATGGAGTTGGGAAATCAACAAATCTGGCCAAGGTTGAGCTGATTTAAAATATCTAGATTTTTGCTTAGGGATATGCCTTCTAGTTTGGGTGGCTAAACAAGTCACTTTGCAGGTTGCATACTGGCTTCTACAGCACAATGTTAGTGTTATGATGGCCGCTTGTGATACATTCCGTTCTGGAGCCGTTGAGCAATTGAGAACACATGCACGTAGACTCCAGGTATTACATCAATCGTAAAGGTTTTATTTTTGACATACTTGGCCCCATTATGCTTGAAGGTGGTTTGCTTCAAATCTAACGTGTATAGGTGTATTATTGTATGGCTACTCTTATATCTGATTGTTATGTGTTCTGTGCCAGATTCCTATATTTGAGAAAGGTTATGAGAAAGACCCTGCAATTGTAGCAAAGGAAGCAATTCAGGAGGCCACTCGTAATGGTTCAGATGTTGTTCTCGTTGATACTGCTGGTCGTATGCAGGTATCTTCTGATCAGTTAATTTATTTGTTTGTAGACTTCATACTTTGGCTACAGCTTGTTGGGTTCTTTGTCGATTCTTATTGTTTTCAGAAGCCATAATCTGTGAGAGATTTACTTTGAAAAGTACTGAATTGCGAGCAATGCTATATTGGTTTTCTTGTTGCCATTGTAATGATACAATTCTATGCTGATCAGGATAATGAACCGTTAATGAGAGCCCTTTCGAAGCTTATATACCTCAATAATCCGGATCTTGTCTTATTCGTCGGAGAGGCACTAGTTGGGAATGATGCTGTTGATCAATTATCAAAATTCAATCAGGTTAGCTTTCATATTTAAGTATTTTTGTCTATTTTATCTAAAGCATTTACCGTACCCCTGCTTATGTTACTCGACTTGAGAGTCGGTTTTGGCTGCGGATCACCAAGAGGGGTATGTTATGTGTTGGATACGGATGCTGGACCCTAGGACTTCCGAATAAATCTATGTTATGAAGCTGTTGCCTATTCTTCTTGTAGAAATTGGCCGACCTCTCCACCTCTTCTAATCCGAGATTGATAGATGGGATTTTGCTTACGAAGTTCGATACCATTGATGATAAGGTAAAATGAGTTTAAAAAATGCCAAGGTTTTGATATTTTGATTAGGTTTGAGAAATCACATTGCCACATTTTTTTTCCCAACCAAATTCGGTGTAGGTCGGGGCAGCGTTGTCGATGGTCTACATATCGGGAGCACCGGTCATGTTCGTCGGGTGTGGCCAGTCGTATACGGACCTGAAGAAGCTTAACGTCAAATCGATCGTCAAGACACTGCTGAAATGAGTGGAATGGTTGTTGTAAAAACTCAGATTTCATTTGCAATGCTCAACATTATGACTTTTAATGGATGTGCATCAGCCCCCTGCGACTCTACATTTGTTTTGTGTTGGATCTTAAAATTATTACCGGTTTGGTATCTTACTTCTCATGTCTGCTTTCTAATGAGATTAATAAATCCTAGGATAAATTACGTATTTAGTACTTAAACTATCACTTTTGATTCGCTCTAGTATCTAAACTTTAATTTCTTTTCAAAATCATATTTAATATTTAGTTTCTATTTCACTTTAATATCCCACCGTTATAACTTTAAAGCGTTGAATATCTAAACTATCGATTTTGGTATGTTTTATTAGGGGTGTGCAAAATTACCCGACCCGCCGACTCGGATAAAAAAAGCCCGTGTAATTTTCTAAAAAAAATTACTCGGCCGGGTCAGGTACCCAACCCGATACTTTCCGGGTCGGGCCCGGGTCACAAAAATTGATTTTTCCGGTACCCGGTTATCCGAGTACCCGATTAAGTTTTTTTTTTTTTTTATAGATTATGTTTTCTAGATTCTATTCATTCAATTATCGTTTCTAGTTCTTATCTTCAACAATTTTGCAGTCTTTGAAGGAAAATGATGATAGGTTGCGTCCGTTAACTATAGTCCCAAGAATTTAAGATTTGCTTAACATCTTTGTGTCTTGCTTTTTCATTCTGTTTTGGATGAAGCAAGAAATCATTTGGCCCCTTGGAGCCATGATATTTTTTCTATGGACTATTATTTGCAGTGACAAAGCGAATACCTTAAAGATATTATGTTTATCATCCTTTTAGAAATTTTGAGTTGTTTCCTTTCTGTTAGTTTAGTGAGCTTGCATATTAATGAGAAAGGTGTTATCGTTTTATCCATGCGATTTGTGTTATTGTATTATAGCATTGTTTGCATGCAAAAGAACCTCTTTCATGGCTATCTGTTTTATGCTTTTGTCTTGAATTGCTGCTTTTTTTTTTTAAAGGCTTCTGCAAAACTACAATTTAAGCTGATAAATAAGAATACCTATTGATTTTTCAAGTGATTCTAGTATTCAAATTTGTGTGTGTTTTTATTTAATAATTTGATAAATAAATCGGGTACCGATTACCAGGTACCCGGAACATCCGATCGGGACACGGGTTGAGAAATCATCGAGCTGGATGTTCAGGGTACCCGGTAATCGGGTACCCAAAAATTCGGGTACCTGGATTTGCACACCCCTACAAACAACCACCGCAACACATATGCAAGACGCTGGCATTGATAGATTCGTACATTTAAATTTTTTTTGTATTTAATTTTTTTACTTATTTACCATTTATTACTTAATTTATTTTGTTTATGTTGTTTATTACTTAATTCAAGAGAATAGTTTTATTATTATTATTATTTTGTTTATTACTTAATTCAAGCGAATGGGTTTATTATTTAGTGAATTTTAATCCATTTTCTTGTATCGTTTTCTTGTTTAATTAATCAGTGATGATAAAATGACATTAACTTAAAGTAAATGTAAATTACATTACAAAAACTATTCTTTCATAAACAACAACTACATCAAGCACAACATTAACGGTTACTTGATGACAAAAGAGATGTACATTTTTTCTACTGTGTCTTGGGTTTCTATAATGCCCACATCTTTTGTTTTCTCTAGATGATTCTTGAATATCATATCACAATGAATTCGAGTGGATTTTGGATGACCACGGTCCCTCAATAAGAACTGATTTGGTATAATCGAAAGTCAATTATGAACCTTATTAGGGTTTTTTTCATTACCTATAGGGGAACTCAAATTCATATACCTTAAACACTTCTGATAGTAGGTATACGAGATCCACAAAACGGTTATAATCTTGATGGATATGCGAGCGAGTTGCTATGATATGAGAGCATGGATACTTCAGAGCTTGAAAAAACCCACAGTCGCACCATCTGTCTCGTAGGTTAACTCTGAACGAGTTAGCTTGAATCCCTTGAAGAGGTTGTGGGATCTTTGTGACACGAAACAATTCATAGGTTCTAGAGAAGCTTGTTATAAACATTCCATTTAATGCAACAATTATTTTTTGTAGATCTGTAACTAATCTAGGGTGATAGACATGACCACTTTGCATCCATGTTTGAGCTTGTCCCCCAAGCTTCGCAAAAAGCTCTCTCAAACAAAAATATGTCATTTTTACCAAAGTCGTTACTGGTAAATAATGTGCCCCTTTAAGGTCGAATTGATTACCTCGGCCAAATTGTTCGTCATGTGTCCATATCGATATCCACCATCATATGCATTTGTCCACATTTCTTTATTGATGAGGCTGATGTAATTGTATCATTCCTCGTTCTTTGATCCCAGTCCCGCGATCTGAAATGACACAAATTTTTTTCCCTCGTGATAACAAGTGAGCGTAAGTTTCGGAGGAAAAAAGGCCAAGAATCTGTATCTTCTTCTTAAACAGAGGCAAAAGCAACTGAAAGAATGTTGCAATTATCATCTTGGACAACTTTCAATAGTAAAACTTGCTTGTATTTTCCATACAAGAATGTCCCGTTGATTTCCACGACCTTGCAGTATTTCACAACATTAATACATTGTGAGTAAGTCCAAAAAAGCCGGTAGAATTGATATCGATCGCAAAGCACTCGATCATTATGGTATGCATGGTAAGTTTCGAGGTCCATAACTGTCCCAAGATTCAACCTGCACACCACCCTAAACCAACTTGGTAGTTCATTGTAAAATGCATCTCATTCACCGTGAAGTTTTTTAATGGCATTATGCTTTGCCTTCCATGCTTTCCTGTATAAGACGATATACTCATATTGCGATTGTATAGCTGAAATCAACACAACAATAACTATATGGAGCTTGTTTTTACCATAAGGCATGATGGCTTGACATATCATGTCGGAATCCAAGCTGGGATAATCCTGGTTGATCCCTCCAACACAACATGTGTGAGGATCGTTGTATATCATTAGTTCCCATAATTGTTTTTCCTCTTCCTCTTCGATACGTGAACCATCCAATTGCATCTGTTATCACGTTGGACACAGTGGCAGACATATTTTTCGGTGGTAGAGCGGTCGACTTTGGACTAAACAGAATTACGAATATTGTAATTCTTAATTGCCATCATCGCTTCTTCTTTGCATGAAAATTCTATTCCTAAATATAACTCACCATCAATGACTGATGAGTTAAATCCATAGTTACCGGCATTAGGCATATCCACAAATTCTATCCCGTACATTGCACCATAGTCAACTTCATACATGTGTGCTGGAGGTTCAATACCACATTTGTGGGAACGTCATCTACATCATCATCATCATCATCATCGGAGTCTATGTTGAACTGCGGTGATTTTGGGTGAACGAATAGTCGAGACTCAGCACCATCCACACCTGGCTCACGAAGCGGTTCTTCTAGTGGAGATGAGAGTTCCTCCACGCTGTCGACATTTAGGTCGAACAACCTGGTAGTTGCATGCATTCCCCTTAAACTTGAAGGCATCTCGACATTGAGGTCAAAAAAAGCTCACAGTTGAATGCCTCCCCTGGAACTTGAAAACATCGTGTCAAATGGAAACTGCACAGATTGTTGCGTCGAGAGCATCTCCATATTCAGGTCAAAGAAATTGGCAGATGAATGCCTTCCCCTTGAACTAGATGAGATGTTGCCATACGGATTGTTTGTGAACCCACATCGATACATATCGTAAGGAGATATTGATGAATATCTCCTCATTGAACTTGATGGAATGGCACCATAATGCGGATTTCTCATTATGACGTTAAAATCATTACACATTACTGTAGTTGACTAATTAAACCTGTAATGTGAGGAACAATTTAGGGAATTAAACAATTGGTTTTACATGTAAGGTCAGTTGATTAAAGTACCACATCAAAATTCTGTCACTCCTAATAGGAGTCGCTAATGACAAATGATTGATTTATTATAAATTGATATCGTTAGTGATGAAATAGTTAATTTTGAAACATCAGTACATAAAAGATAAATTGATTAAAAGATAAGTGACTATTTACGTGGTTTTCCCTTTCGTAAATAAATAAACAAAAGCTTAATCTTAACTTCCCTCTCTTCCTGTTATTGGTTCTTTGCTTCTCTTTCTAAATGATAGATACAGTGATTTAGGAAAGTGAAATTCAATTCACCCCTTTTGTTTGCTTTGTCTTCAAGTCTCGTCGAGTTTTCTCCCTCACTTTCTCGCATTTTCTCGGGAAAAAAAGGAGAGAAAAGAAAGCATGGAATTGCCTGTGTTAGCTTTTACGTTAAGAGAGTGAGTGGGAAAAAACACAGTTCCAACAACAAGTGCTGCAAAAGCTTTTTCTTTTGAGGTAATAATAACCCTCTTTTCCATCTCTCTTGTTTCCCACAATGCAGAATGGAAACTCTGTTTCCGAGGCCAAATTTGAATTGATTTAAATGAATACACAACTTGATCCCATTCCTTTTCCTTTTTTCCCCCTGAACTGTAAAGCTTGAACCTTTAGCTTCTTCTTCTTAAAGGGTGATCTCATCTTTGTTTAACTTCGGTTTGGGTATTAGTTTTTAGGGTTTTCGAGCTCATTTCGAAGACTTTGTGGACAAGGGAGAATGGGGTTTAAGGGGTTTTTTCCAAGGAGATTTTTGGATGGAAAATGAGGGTTTTTTAGTATGTTGGTGAAAGCCTAGAGTGGCAAAGTTGTAAATTTAAGTAAGTTTTGTGGGGTGAAGCTGAGATCTGTTTTTGGAGCTTTGGAGATACTGTTTGAATGTGATGCAATTCTTGGTGTTAAAAGGGTTTTTGTAATTGGTTTAGGGTTTTTGTTTACGAGGAATATGATGATTATACTGAATTTTGATGATTTTGTGGATTGGATAGGCAAAAGTTGAGGGACTGGGCTAAACAAGGTGCTGGTAAAGTGGGACTGCTTTCAGGCAGATAAATATATGAGATCTTGATGGTGTTTATTTGAGGGATATCTTCGTCTATGCCCGGAGGCCCGAGATTGAGGCCGATGAATGTGGCGGATACCGAGTCGAGGGCCGTACTGGGACCTGCAGGGAACAAGGCAGGTTCACTGAGTGCAAGAAAACCAGTTTCAAAGCCTTTGAGAAAGGTTGAAAAGACTCCGGTTGAGGTCGAGAAAAAGGCCCTTCCATCATCTACTGTTAGTTCACTTTCTCCAAAGACGCATTCCGCTGGCATTTCTTCCATGCTTCGTCGGCATGAATGGTTATTACATTCTGATTTGTCACCAAATGCTTCGTGTTCATCGGATGCTTCCACTGATTCATTTCATAGTAGAGCATCCACTGGCAGGTGAATCCGGTCATATAGTGTAGGAAGTAGGAGGAAGCCGTTTGCATCGAAGCCGAGAAGTGTCGTTTCCGACGGTGGTTTGGATTCACCGCCCGGTTATTCACATCAAAAGAAGAGAGCTGCTTGGGTGATACCAAATACATGTGTGTGACTTAACCTGATTCAATTGTGAATCCATGTGAACATTTCCTTCCTATGCTGCTTTCAACTGAATTATCAGCCTCATAAGTTTGCTCTAAGTGTTAATTTTATCGGTTTTTACGATTTGAATCGACCAATAAGTTAAATGCATGCTTGATATTTATAAGTTCTGCACTTTTATGAGGAAGTACATGTATGACATGAATGCAAATTAGTTACACATTCAGAGGTTCAGGCATTATATTCGAATTAAAAGACTGTATATCATCTTATCTCAATTTGTTTGAGTTACACCTTCGAGTCATCGATATTGTTTGGAGGGTTGTTCTAGGACATTTACCGGAGGAAGGCATTCCGTCATGCTTTCTACTTACTTGGTTTTGGTTTTGGATCAGATCCGAGTTATGCCGCCTTCCACGATGAAGAGTGGGGAGTTCCTGTACACGACAACAAGTATGTCATCTCGATATTGGCTGTATCTGGTTACTGATTAAACTAACTAGCTCTCCGGTAAAAATATATTTTACTCGACGACTAGTTTGGCTGATAACGTTTTCCACATGCAGGAAATTGTTTGAGCTGCTCGTACTGTCGGGTGCATTGTCCGAACTTACTTGGCCTGCTATCCTAAGCAAAAGACAGATATTTAGGTATTGTGCCCGCAGAATCTCCATCTTACTTCCGTTGAATATGTGGACTTCTGAGATGTATCTTTTATGCAGGGAAGCTTTTGTGGAGTTCGATCCTGTTGCCGTGTCAAAGCTAAATGAGAAGAAGCTAGTAGCACCTGGTAGCTTGGCGAGTTCGTTGTTATCAGAACTAAAGCCGCGGGCTATCGTCGAGAATGCATGCCAAATGTCTAAGGTAAGATTCCCATTCTACTTTTCACCATTTTTTCGACCTTGCTTTCGAACCGCATAACGAATAACATGGAATATGACAAAAGTTTGCTCTACTGAAGTTGTTGTACATAGTGGAAGATATGAATTTGTAGTTTACCTTGCAAGATAATAGCACACCTCCGGTCGTCTACTCGACTTCGGGGCTCGTTTTAAACCGATAGTCCCGATGTAGGATTAATTGAATTGATGGCTAAACCCAATCAGGGACCAGTTATATTGTTCTCCATTGTTTTAGCAAGTGATTAGACAAATATAGAAGGTTCTTAGTGATCATTTTGTTTTAGTAGGTTTGTAGAGATGTAGCTGAAGTGGTCCTAAACCCTCCAGGCACATTATTTGGACTATCCATGGTGACTTTGATTATGATTGAAACTAACTTTTTGCTGGTTTTGATGATGCCAGGTTATAAATGAGTTCGGGTCGTTCGACGAGTATATTTGGAGTTTCGTGAACCACAAACCTATCGTTAGCAGATTCAGGTATCCTCGCCAGGTTCCGGTTAAACTCCAAAAGCAGGTGTCATAAGCAAAGATCTAGTAAGAAGGGGTTTCCGAAGCGTGGGGCCGACGGTAATCTACTCGTTCATGCAAGTGGCCGGAATAACAAACGACCATCTCACGAGTTGTTTCAGATTCCAGGAGTGTATGACTGCAGCAGAAGGGAAAGAAGAGAATGGGATCAAAGATGTGCCATAAGAGAGAAAACTCGATAATGATATCATATCGGAATTGTCGACAGCTTTCGACGGATTGAGCTTCTCCTCGGAACGATGTTCGGTCCGGGTTCTATCATCAGTTTTACCACGTTGACTGATACTCTTTGGCTCGTAATGAAAGATGGTTTTGTTGTGTATAAAAATTTCTATGAATACTCGTGCATTTATGAATCTCTCTAGATTGTAGATTCCTAGAGAGAAAAATTAAAATATAAATGGTGAAATCATGAACGTGTGCTGTCATTGATACCTGTGAGTAATGGTTTAGGGGCAATTAGTGTCCCAAGTAGAGTTGGGCATTTGACCCGAATTCAATGGATTCATATAGTCAATTTTGTGTTTTCGAAATTTAGGTTCGGGTCGGTCGGATTCAAATTTATGATGAAATACCAACCTGAGATAATTAAAGTAATATCATTCTCTCTATATATAATGTATGGTGTAAATTTTTACCCTCATATATTAGATGGGATAGATTCTCCTTAGGCATGTAAACGAACCGAACGAACACAAGCAAGGGTATGTTCATATTCGTTTGTTTAACTTTAATCGAACAAATGAACGAACACGAACAAAAAAATTCTTGTTTGTGTTCGTTCATTAAGGAATGTAGCTTGTTCGTGTTCGTCCATGTTCGTTCATTTAAATGATGAACGGACACAAATGAACGAACTTAAACGAACGGATGTAAATGAACGTAAATGAACACAATAAACGAACGAACTTAAACAAAAGTTATAAATGAACGTAAATGAACAAAACAAATGAACATAAACCATAACAACAATAATCACATAAAATTCATTAATATAAATTGCAACTTCATAGTAAAATTTATATTTAATTGTTATGGGTTTTTTTTATTTGTACTTATAATTAATTGATTTTTAAAATATTAATGGTTATCATATTAAAATTTATTGGCCATTAATATTTTAAATGTCTAGAGAGATTAGGGTAAACATAAACGAACGAAAGTAAACGAATATATTATCGAACGTTCATGATCGTAAATGAACGAATGAGCCCCCTGTTCATGTTCGTTTATTTAATTAAATGATCACAAAATCTTGTTCATGTTCTCTCGTTTAATAAATAAATGAACATAAACGAACTTCTCACCGAACGATTCGCTTCCTTTACATGCCTAATTCTCCTTAAATTTGAGTTGAATAGAGTAACATATGGAATGGTATGATATTTGAATTGAGTTCAGATGGATCGAAAATCTGACCCATACGTAATCCTATCCTAAAGGGACAAGAGGGGGACTCTCTTTTACAAGACATGTTTGTCTTGAGGTAACCCCAATATTACCAATGATGTAGGGTAACTATGTTTCCTTCTTTTGTGGGACAATAATGTCTTGATGGATGCTTTGTTTGAAAAAAGACTAAAATTTCCAATCCGTAATGCTTTGTCCCAATAGATGCTTTTCTACCCTAATTGAAGTCCCTCTTAACAATTAAAACAAAAGGCCAATGAATTATAGCAATAGATCATTATTTCAATGGTAATTTGAAATTGACAAATATTGGATGGGAGTAAAATTCACACCATTTTGCATTAAAAAAAAGTTATTGTTGGTAATATTCTTTCTTCTGCTAGAAATGAGAGCAAAACTAAATATGAGAACAAGATTTCGAAAAAGATTATTACCTCTGATAATGATCTTTTATACGAACCGAACTTGCCCTAACGGTCCGGTGCATGCCACATGATACAAAGATAGAAGATCGGAACATGGTTCCAAGTAACAACGGGTTGGCAACCAAATCTATATTGTTTCCACTATTATAACCTTGTTCCAAACAGATTGAGATAGAATACAACAGAAAATATACAACCTCACAGAGACTAGAGCAATAAAGTAGGACAAATCAAACCTGACCAATGGCCGTTTCGAATAATTTTATATAAAGACACGCCTGATGTTGACGACGGAAAAGTTACCTATAAGTTCAGCATGGTTTGATTTCGAATCCGATACTCAGAAGCGTTCTAGCCGATTCCATTGCCTTTTCACCTCCAAGTTCTACAGCCTCACCGGTCAGTTCACCTCCTCTGCCCACTGACCACTTGGTTGATGTAATTTGCTTTTGCACTTCATCGGCTACTGTAAGTTGCAAGCTGTTCATAGAAGCAGGAGCAGCAGCAGCAACAAGAGGAGCACTTGAAGGGCCATGTCGCTTCTTCGGTACAGGCATGTCATGGTCGTGAATGCCTTTATATGTTATAACGATGGCATTTGTATTATCTACAGCTGTCTCAATATGCTTACGGACAGGACACCCGGCTGAAGTGCATCTATAGTAGTTCCTAGAAAACAATATCAATTGGAAGATCAGAAAAAAATCAAAAGAATGTATACGAATTCAAGGAACTAACAACTTGGGTCAAGAATGAGCTTGTAAGCTTCCAAATTGGCCATCCTTGAAAGAAAACAGTCTCATATAATGGTCAGGGAGAGATGTTCAGACAAATATAGCACAACAAAGCAAAAATAAAATGAACCGACATGGTTTTGCAAAGCACACTACAAGTACCAAGTACTACAGAGACGAAAAGCAAGGACAGACCACTCGAACTTTTTAGCATCAATTGTCGTCAAGATCCATGGTGCAAATGAATGGTAAAGATAATATAGTAAACCTTGTGGGTCCCATACAACAGACATGTAAAAAAGGTAACCACCATTACATAGTATAGCAATGATAAGTACGAGTCGACAGAGTAGCCACATATGCCTGAGCAGCCACGCACATTTAACGATGGTTTAAAGGGAAAAAAACAGTTAAACCTTCATTAAAATGATACTAAGAAGGGAACAAACACCTGGGATTAGAATTTCCTTTCACCATTTTCTGTCCATATTTTCGCCATCTGTATCCATCGCCAGAGATTCCTACATCACCAGCTGCATGCACGACAAATTTAGGTTTTTTCCCAGTTTTCACAGCAGAACCAGAACAAACTGCATCACCTTTCTTCCTCCTGGATATCAAGAAAATGAGAAATTATCACAACCGGGTTAGCATAGAGGCTTTTCCATTAATAATGTACACCCGACATGTCATGGAGGAAAAAGGCAAAGAGAAATTCAAGGAAAAGCTTGCCTTTTATTTGGCTCAGCTTCACTCAAAAGCTCTTCCTTCATTTGCGAGTTGCCATTCCCGTCAGAGCCACTAGAACACTGTTGTTTTCTTTCAGGATTTACAGTTGTTTCTGGTAAAGATTCTTTAGAAGATGTAGAAGGATCAGAATCATTAGGCACTCTGACAGACTGTTCTGTTACAAGATTCATTGAAACAGGAACAACAGATGACAAAACCTTACTTTCCCTTGTAAAGTTAATTTTCCGTGGTGGTTCATGACTATGTATGCCTTTATTAACAATCTCTATTACATAGCCTGTGTGATCAGAGCACTCTATCTTTTTAACCTGACAATTGGAGAATGTGCATTTGTAATAGCTTCGAGAACCTTTAGGACTCTTTACTTGCTTCTGACCATATTTCCGCCAATTGTAACCATCAGACACTGGTGTCTTCACATTGGGAACAAAGGGTACCACTTTAAGATTAGAAGGGCTTTGCTGGTTTGCTTCTGCAAGGGATGAGATATTAACCTTCTGATCTGAATGACTTTGTTTCAGAGAGGTTGGTGACGGTTCAGGCAAAACAGATAATTGGAGATGATTTTGTTTTGGAGAAGTTGGTGACGGTTCTGGCATAACAGATAATTGGATCAGATTTTGTTTCAGAGAACTTGGTGATGGTTCTGGCAAAACAGATTCATGGACCGGATTTTGTTTCAGAAAACTTGGTGATGGTTCTGGCAAAACAGATTTGTGGACCAGATTTTGTTTTGGAGATTCTGTATCCTGGAAAGCCAAATTAGGCATTTCCTGGTGGGCTATCTTAACTTGATCCTAAAGAAAAAAAAAAAGAACTCAATGAAAGAATAATTCAATCACAGAAAGAGTTAATTGTACATAAGATGTAAAGGTCCTAGAAGAATTGATGACGACATGGATCTTCCACATCATTCTGATGGTTTAGAAGAACTCACTCAATGCTCTAACTCAAAGGACAACATATATCATCTCCAAAAAGATTAAATTAGAAGATATAACTGGAAAAGCTTTCACAAGGCTAATTGAATGTTTAGGTAAACCATTTTCGCATCCTTCAGCCATCTATTTAACATAGAAGTATAAGGCTTCATCCTTTAACATTCACTTATATATCAAAATTAGATTTGATAATTGATTTCATGGGCAATAACACAAATTTGCAACCAAGAAGGAAATAAAAACATAAAAAACCTTAGTAGATTAGGTCTTAAATGGCTTTTAAACACGAAAAAATTCGATAAAAAAAAGGAGCACACTTGCCATGAGAAACAACCACATTCATATATCTATAATTCAACTTTAATGAACCCAAAGGTGCTGGTTAGTTCATGTGAATGCATATATCCATATAGAGAGGTGAGATGTTAAATTTTGCAAATTCCAAGGACCTTATTTCACTTCCCACAAGACCTTGTTGGCTATTCAGTGCAACACTACAATCAACAACATATGAAAATAAATTTAATATTTACTGAAGCAGAGAAACACTGCTGCGAAGTACTTTATCTAATAATATTTTTAATATTTCAAGGCAAAGATAGAATATAAGGAAAATCCTTTATGGCAACAAAGTCATCGATCTCTACACCATCCATAGACAAACTCTAATTTTAGCTTCTAGTCATGGAAAAACATAAGCAAAAAGTGCAGAGTTCAAGCAAACAGATCGAAAAAGAGAACGATAAAATCATCACAATCGCAAATTTTCAAAATTAAAAATAAATAAGAAATAGAAACGAAAGTCTAGAAATGAATACAGTAGTTAAAGAGTGAACTCCTGACCTTAGATTCAGCAACTTCCTTCGATTCCGAAGTAGAATTCTCCTGCAACCCTGAGAGATCACCGCACAGCGAATTTTTCATTAAATAAATAAGGGAAATGAACGGAATTCTTCACTTAAAAAAATACTTACCCTCACGACGATCATCATTCGTTAGGTATTCCAGCCGCGAGTCTTTTAACTCGGCGTCACTCGACGGCGCCGCTCCTTCCTTGTCCGACTCATCAACTCGACTCACTCCTTCCTTGTCCTCTCCCTCTTCAGCATCCAACTCGTCCGCTTCTCCTATTGAGTCGTCGTTTTTCTTTTCCTCGTGTCGTTCCATCGGCTGCGCTTCGCTTTCAGTCTCGGCCATGCCAGAGCAGGAGAAGAGAAACCGCGGGTGTCGTTTTAATAATAATTATGATATGAAACGGCACCGGAATTAGATATGGAGAGAGAGAGAGGGGGGGGCAAAAGGGGGTTGCTTTAAAGAGAGAGAAAGGGGTATTTATCTGACTTCAATTGACTCGTCCTTTTCTCTCACCTTCCTCAGGTGGTTTCTCTGTGTAACAGAATCCACCGTTGATATCTCCGTTACATCAGCTGCCCTTGATCTTCTTGACCTCTGACTCTTCCTGTTCGTCCACATCCCTTATTTTTGCGTAAACTATGCATTAAATTCAATTTTGATTCCATTCGATACCTAAACTTTTAAAACTTTTAAAATCATACTTAATGTTTATTTTTATTTTCATTTAATATCCGTCATTAAAAACTTAACGTATTTTAATTTTAATTTAATACCCGTCACTAAAAACTCGACGCATTTAGTACTTAAACTATCAGTTTTGATTCTTTTTAGTACCTAAACTTTCAATTTTTCAAAACTATACATAACATTTAATTTTAATTTCATTTTAGTAACCCACCATTAAAAGCTCAAACTTAGTACCTAAACTATCAGTTTTGGCCAGTTGTAGTACCTAAATTTTAATTTTTTTTTTCAAAAGTTAACAATAAAATTTGAACAGAGGTACTAAAATATATCAAAACTCATAATTTGGATACCAAACACGTAAATTACCCCTTTTTATCCACTTTCAATCATTTGACAATAAACGTTTGTATATCTGACATTTACGGTACTCGAACTTGAGCCTCAAGGGATAACGAGTCTCCCGACTATAGGGTAAAGTACACAAATGGTCATCGAATATAGGGTATTGCTTTATTGAGACTATCTATTGTTATAAGTTACTAAATGATCATTCGATTATAAAATATTATTTTGTTGAGTCTCATAACTATTAAAAGTTACAAAATGATCACTCAACTTTCCAAACTCATCTATTTTCGTTATAAAATTAACTGGATTTTGAATTGAACATTAACCTGTTAACTAAGATATTATAATATATAATATCTGATATTATAATATATAATTTCATAATCTCAAATGACTATCATATCTCAGTTATCGTTCTAACGTCTAGCTTAGCAACCTTCATTTTTAACGAGAAAAGACTAGTTTAAAATATAATGAATAATTAAATTATCATTTTGTAACTTTTAATAGTCGATGAACTCAACAAAACGATATTATACAATCGGATAATTACTTTATAAATTTTAATAGTCAATAGGTTTAATAAAATAATATTTTATAGTCGAAAACCATTTGTGTACTTTACCTTATTCCAAATATGTTTAATTAAAAGTCTAATGTTTCAAAAAGATCGAATAAGGGAGCTCAAATGAAAATTTAATATTTCTTTTAATATGCTCAAACGAGAGCCTTTGTTTTAAAATATTTTTAAAAAAATACTTATTTGATTAAATACAAAAACACGAGGGCCTTTTTTGACTATTTCAAAAGTTCAAACCCTTAATCAAATATAAAATCATTAAATTCTTATTCAATCATTTATTTTCGTACTGTTAATCTCAATCACATTAACAATCATCCGTTTATTGAACAAAGCCTGCAGTAGTCTAACTGAAAACAGATGCATTATTGGGTACAAGTAATAGTTTCATACAATGCTACCATATTGACCAAGTAATGTATGCTCTTCATTCTTTCTCAAATATATCCATGCCAAATACATATAAATACGAGTACCGACTAAAATCCTTCGAATATATGAATACGAAAAAAAATTGCGAGTATACTCGTATCCGACTCTTACACCAACCATTGGTTAAATAGTCTACGAATAGTACTCGAATACTCGCATCCAACTCTTACACCGACTCTCGATGAAGTAGTCTATAGGCTCGAATACTCGTATCCAACTCTTACACCGACCCTAGGCATAGCACTCAACTTATGGACACAGTTGTCCTATTTTGCATGTCATTGTAAATTTGCACAACAAACTTCAGCAACAAAAGCCCTTAACAAAACCATAACCAAGGTAGGACTTTTAACATCATATAACCTTATCTATAGCGCATATGATTCCGAATCATATTATCGGCTTTCCGGCAACGTTTATCTGCAGTTTTCACACTCAAAGGGTACACTAAAACTTGCAGTACTCTCACTTCTGTCAAACATAGTGATATTGCATTCATTTCTTGTTTTGAAAAGCTTGAAAGCATACTATTTCCACAGAAACAAAAGAACCTTTTGTCCGATAATCGAAATAGCACCGATAACATATAAATTCTATTTCAAAAACATGCACATGATAGTCCCCTAAAGTTTTCAAAGTTCAATAAGTTTATATAATTTATCTTCCTAGGGTCTTAATGTAGGTAACCTGCCCTACTGAATCTTCCCATTTCTTTGGCTCAGTCTCTAGGTTATCACATACACTCTGCAAGGCCTAAGGCACAAAATATTTGCTCACCTGAATAAGATAAGGCAAAATGCATATTGATATGTGTGTGTACATAAACCCGAAAAGATCCATTGCATTTTAGTGTATTTATTCTTTGGCACCGAGACACAATGCCTAAACATGCGTGGACAACATCGAGTACATTTAGATAAAGATCCTTAATCTCCATTAACTGGCTATGGCAGTCCTAAGATCTTTCTATACAAAGCCATGTTTCGATGATTTGAGATCGGTGTACCTTGTTGGCAGAGACTGGAACCATACCACCGATGACTTCTTCTAAAGTCACTAGATGGTGTTGCAGCTAATCGAACCCGTCTGTTCATTACTGTCCTCGTACCTTCAAAGAAGACTTCATTTTCTACATCGCGCGTACTACATGCCAGGTGACAAAACCGTAGTATGCCACATGACAGTAATATCTTAGAGGAAAAACATTAAGACTTAAAGATTAAAATTGGTCAAAGGACTTGTTGAATTTCTCAATTCAAGGGTTCAATTGGCACCAAAAAAGTTAAGGGCTTAATTGATTTTCCCTTTAAAGTTTGAGGGCTTCAGGCACCCTTAAACCTTAATTTAAATTTGTTTTAAATTTCTAAAAATATAATTCTATACAATAAATGATTCAAAGTGTTCACTGAAGTTAATAGATCGAAAAGGAACGTACAAGCGCCACAGGATCATTACCCTCTTCCCAAAAGATGTGTCTAATAGGATGTGCAGGGATTAATGTTCACACCTCTCTGAGGCATAACACGAGATCAAGGTATCAAATTAGGGACACCGTCATCTACCTACATAGGAAGTAGTTCCGAGAGGATACTTCACGACGATAATCTACAAAATAAGTAGTCGAGTTAATATAAGACATGAAAGGTATGCAAGCATAGGTGGCCAAAATTCAAGCAAAAAGGGAAGGTACTTGAAGAAATGAGATCCAGAAACAGTTCTTGAAGAAACAAAGAAACACCACTAATGTCAAACACCTAGTGGCATTCCATTGAAAAAAATGCCACTATATCATTGCCAATAACAAATTAACAATGCTTTTTAATGAACAAACGCCACTAAATTCATCGGATGCCGCCAAAAGCGGCCAAGGAAAACCAAATCTTGCCAGCTGCATTTTTGTGTTAAACACCACCAAATGAAATACTAAAAAGGTGTTCAAGGAAAGGCACCGACGTTACGGTGAATGCAGCCATTATAGCGGTGTTCATGAATGTCACTAAACTTTTAGTGACGTTCATAGAAACGCCATTAAAAGCAAGTTTTGTTACAAAAATAAAGCTAACATATCTAAACTATGAAATTACCAAGTAAAATATTGCAACAGCATATGCAGAAAATATAGACAACAATTTACCGAACAACAAAGCGCCATTCGAATCGAATTCAATGAATCCAACTCCGGTGGTCCGTCAAACTCGATTGTCCATTACGAACAAAGCATTGATTATAACTAAATAGTGAGCTCAAAAGGTTATTAGTATGCATGCTCAAACAGCTATATAAGAATCTCCTTTCAAAGTATGCCGATCAATCGATTGAAATATAAGGGTTCCCAAAAACAAAAACAAATTCTAAATGAATTTGCAAAATGATACCATATCACATACATATCATTCCCACTAAATTCTATGCTAAATCAATCCATGGTCCCAATTTTTGATCATTCATCTTCTTCCAATAACAGCCGATGTTAAACCATTAGTATAGCTGAGATTTAATCAGTGTATAGGCTCAAAATTCTCCTTTTCCAACATAGAGGAACACATTAATCTGTAGATTAACTACCAAATTACCAATCTCTCAATTAATCACATAAAATCTGGCGAGAGAAGAAAAAATCAAAGAGTTTCTGCAGAATGAAGAGACAAACCATAACAAAAAGAAGGCAACAAGTAAAATTGAAGCAAAATCCAATAATGATTCGATTACTAACCTGCAGTGGGAATAAAGATCTAAAGGGAATAGAACATATATATATATATATATATATATATAGAAACTAAGAGAAAGATGAGTGCTTATGAGTGTGCCCAGAATTTCCAGTATGAAAAGCTTCAGTGCTTAGACAATAAAACAACAAAAGGAACCTAAAATCAGAACAAAAAACCCAGAACCATGAACACAAAACAAGAGAAGGTCTTCCATTACATTGCATGGTTTCCCAAAAGAAAAATAATCTATGAAGATGATGAAGAAGAAGAGGGTTTTTCAAAGATGATCGATGTGGTATTCCGTTAACATGAGAACAGTAGTTAGGCGTACCTTCAAAGAGAGAGGACCATCAAAAGCTGTGCTTTTTTTCTCCCCCATCAAACCTCCATCCATCAAACCATTGATATTCCCAAAAAGAAACACATTAATTAAACAACACAAAAATGGAATACTAAAAGACAAAGACATAAATATGTACTTTATATGAAACGATAACCCCCAAAAAAAAAGATGGCTTCATGATCTTTCTGGTGTACTTGGGAAGAACTAGAGAATTCCAGGGAGAAGGACATGTGGAGGTTGAAGTGAGTGAATTTAATGTCTGACAGAAGAGGTGTGAGCACACGACGGGCAAAGGTATGATCTTTTTCATACGATCTGCCTGCGTGTGCTCACTCCCTCCTGTCAGTCTTCTCTTCTTCCTC